ATCATTGTGTTTATATGTACTTTAAATATGAGGTTCTATGAAAGTTAGACCAAATATTAATTTTAGATATTTTAATTTGGAACAATTATTTTAGATATTTTAATTTGGAATAATTATTTTAAGAAACATGATATATTATGAAATTTGGATTAGCTCGTTAGATAAAATTAAATTATTAAACTATGATCTACTAAACTAACCGATTTTATTGCAAAAACATTATTTAAAATTAAAAAGGCAAATATGTGAAGCATATCTCCATTTGGCGGTGCAAGGATATAGTTAAATTCGCCAAAGCTTCAGACTTAATTCCTCTATCGAATAATCGAGTTGCTCGTGAAGTATTTCATATATATCTTTTTTTTTTTTTTGAGAAAAGGCTTTATTTCATATATATCTTATACTTCAAAGATATATAAATCGAGTTGCGAAGTTACTTAGTTACATATAAAGATCTTGAAAACATTATTCTACAAAAACAACATTTCGAAAATGTTATTACAAAATTTGCGTGGACGAGGGGCTTAATAACATCACCTGTTTAAAAAATTCTTAATATCATCTGCATAATAATGAAGTTTCGTTTGTCGGTAAATTATATTTTTAGTATTAGATACATGCTAAATTTTTGTATGGACCCTGAAAGAATTAATAAATATTCTTTATTTGATAATCCCTAAATAATATCTACTGTAGTGAACATATTAGTGACTCATTCAAGTCTTTAAACTTTTTTTAATGGTTTTTGTCCAGATTAAAAGTGTGTTGATCCAGCTTTATGCTCGTCGTGATTTAAATATAGAAAGCATATATTATACAAGTTGTGGATAATTGGGTCGGTCCTCCTAATGGCGGCCAGCTTTTTTTTTGAAATTGAAATGGACGCTGTCTTATTAACATTTGCAGAAGAATCCACTAACGTTGTGATCAATGATGATGATGTGATTTAATTCATAATTATTGCTACCTTACAGTTTCTTTTAGAAAAGAAAATATGATCACAGCAATCTAATTTTTATTATTACCCTGTACAATATATTTATGCAGAACTTAGTTTATGATGAAAGGAAACAAAACAAAGAGCAGACAGGTTAATCACAAAATACTTTACTCAATTTTCTGAATTTGAATTAATTGCGTTTAGTCACAAGAATAAATCACTTTGGGAAAAAACCAATTTTCTACTATGTGGCATAGATTAAGCTTAAAATCATGAATATGCACGAAAGGTTAGATACCAGAAGAAATCAGGATATATTTGTATTCGATCCATATTCAACGGGTAATAGATCTCGTTATTTGTATTTGATCTTAACATCATGAATATTTTTCCGATTTTGGATATTTGAATATCATGAATAATATCTGAATGAATCTAGTATTCTGTGTCTGATCTTAATTGTGAATTTCTATTTTTGTGGTTAAGAAATCATATGAAGTAACCTATCATTTCACTTTTTCACTTTCTTTTGTTGGCAAATTTTATCATCTATTATATTAAAATAATAGAAGCACATTTAGTACTTGCTTCCAAACATTCCTAATTTTTTTTAAAGTGTTTAAAAATAATTTTAATAATTATTTATATTTAATTTCGAAAATTAGTTATTAATTTAAATATTTTTAGAGTTCCTTAAATTTAAGTAATTTAGATTTGATTTGATTTGATTAAAAATAAAAAATCAGATATTAATTTAGATTTGATTTAAAAATTCTAATTTAAATAATTTCTATACTATTAAACATTTTTATCAAAAATATCTAGAATTTTTGAAAAAAAAATTCACATATGAAAAATAATGATCATATTTGAAATATAAAATATTTATAATGATGTAAATGATATGATATTTATGTTGCTTATATAATATATTTACGATTATGATTTATTTACAAATTAATAATAAAATAATAAGTAAAATTCAAATGTATAATTTAAATATTAAAAATATATTTTTTAAAATTCATAGAACTAAAAATATATATAAAAACCCGGGTTAAAAATATTTTGGTAACTAAAATCACTAATTTTGAATTATACATGTATATCGAAAATATATTTTTCATACAAAATCAAAACATAAAAAATTAAAAATTATTGCATACACTATAATGTGGTTTGAAAAACCAGTTGTACACTCCCTTCGTTGATTAAATTTTAGAAAACTATAATGCTAAATAATACTGTTTATACATCTCAAACTTTTAACAAATAATTATATTATACGGTAATATGAACGGAAAAGTTAGAATTATGTTTTTATAATAGTTCATTATGAATTAATATTAGTGGATGGGTTAAAATTATGTTTTTATAATTATAATTAATTTTAATACTATAAAAATATATCTAAACACAAAAATCAATATTTTCACTTATTAAAAAATATATTTATAAAACTAATTATATCTAAACTCAAAAACACAAATTATATTATAAAATTCGTTAAACAATAAAAAATATTCTCGTGCAGATGCACGGGGTTAGAATCTAGTTTTTTTAAAGAGAAGTACAGTATTACGAATTCACGATCCGTCAATAACAACCATGCAGTAATTAAGTGTGCATGCATTAATTTTTTTTCTGATAGTACGTAGCAAAATTAATTTATACTGTCTTTTATTTTCAAATTTTGTATATTTGTCATTAAAAATTCTAAACTTATAAAACCAAATCAGATTTCAAATCAAAGGTTTGTACAGCTTTTTGTTGAACTTTTTATTTTGGGTTTAACAACGGTTAATATAATTACTAAAAAATATGTGTTTAATAACATAGGTTTGAATCATATAATAAGATGTATGTCTTATTTAAATAAATAGGTATATTGTAAGTTAATTTTTTTGTGGCTTCATGTAAGAAACAACTTTTAAAATTTTCGAGAACATTCTTGTTGTAGTTAGGATACTCTAGGATATAACTAAATACTTTGTTAGTTTGTCGGATGAAACTATCAAATGTTCAATCTTACATAATGTTGTAAAAGTCCAGAATTTGTGAAATATTATATAAAAAGTAAGGATTAATCTATCTATCGCTAATTAGTTTTGAGTTGGAAATCCATAAATTCATATTTAACATGATATCAAAGCCATCCGATTTTGGGCTTTTTCTGTAAATGTTTTTTTCTACAAATTTTCACGCTTCAATTCTGATTGGTTTGAGCGTGAGGGAAAATTTTGTGAAAATGTCACATTGGTAGTTGGAAAATTTATGAAATATTATATAAAGGATAAAGACCAATCCACTTATCGCCAATAAGTTTTGAATTAGAAACCCATAAAATCATATTTAACATGGTACCTGATCTTTGGGTCCTCTCCAGTTGGGTCTCCCAGGAGATGGCTCTAATACAAAGTTAAATAAGAGTTTATGGACTTCCAACTCAAAATCAATTGGTAATGAGTATATTAACTCTTAATCTTTTATATACTACTTACCGATATGTAATTTTCATAACACATGATAAGTTCCGAACGTTGATTAATGTCTTAACAGAATTTTGAATATTGATTTTTATTCAATTTTATAATATAAAAGAAGATGCATTAATAACAGTATATTATAGTCACAAATTACAAAAAATTGTTTAATTTGTTAAATATTTTTTTCAACTATATACTTATTTGTGTAGTGATTTCCTTACGTGTCACGCTCACAACGAATTTCACACATTTTCGCTTACGTGTCAGCTTCAGAATGAGTTTCGACTGCAAAAAGATTGTTTAGCCCTATTTAGCAATTACATGTTAATTTTTAATTGGTTCCTAACTAATGATATGTCAAAAATAACTTAAAACAAACCGGTTTAAATTAATTCCATAGTCAACCAAAGCGTTTTTGAAATTATATAAAACAAAAAATTAGATTTTTTTTTTAAAACATTTTTCTAAAAAAAAATTTATATCTCTGAGTGTTTAGCATTTCTTATGTTTTCAAAATTTAGAATGTTAAAAGAAACAAAAATGGAATCTATTTAAAAGCTATAGAATGTCATTTTTAAAATTATATAAAACCAAAATTTAGAAAAAAATTTAAAAAATATTTTACAGCGAGTTTCACAGTTTTTCGCTTACGTGTCAGCTCTAAAATGAATTTTGGCTATAAATAGATCATTTAGCCCTATTTTTGCAATTACGTGTCACTTTTTGATAAAATTAAAACAAATTAACAAAAATGTTTTTTTTTATAAAAAAAAATAAAATTTACATTTTACCATTTCTTATGTTTTCGAAATTTCGAAAAAAACTAACAAAAATGTTAAAAGAAACAAAAATGGAAATTATTTAAAAAATAATCGAATGTCATTTCAAAACAAACAAAATCTGAAATTAAAAAAAAAACTCTAATAAAAAAGTTAATATATATATATATATATATTTAACTAATGGAATGACGATATTTGTGATGTTTAAAACACATAAAACAGTGATCATAATCGAATAAGTTCATACGAACCTTCAAAAAATTACGTCTAAAATATAGAACAGTGATCAAAAGATCTCAAAACTATTTAAACTAAATTATTTGGATACTACTATGTTTTTATTTACTCTTTTTTCTTTTATACTGTTTTCACGATAATGTCTTCCAACATTAAAATACAAGGAAATCTAACAAACAAATATACTCAAAAATAAAAAAACAAATAAATCCAAACTACTATTACATTTTCAAACAATCAAATAGAAATTATGTCAATCCGCGCGAGGCGCGGAAAAGTTAACTAGTATTATATATGCAAGCGATGTTTTTCTCTCAAAATGATATATTATTTCTTTCTTTTATTATGTATTTTTTTTTTCAAAATATATTACCTTTTTGCTAGAAAAATATGATAATTTATGATTTTGTTCTATTTTTGTGATTGCCTTTCAGAGAATAATAAAGCTGTAATTGAGGATCCTACCAATTGCATGTGGAATGATAAATCAAAAGGCCCACCAAAAAGATTAATCTAAAAGCCAACTCAGCCAACCCCATTGAACAATTGTGCTTCGTTTTGTCACTATTCATCATCTACCTGTCTTCTCACTGACTTCAAATCTTTTTTCTTCGTATAATATCAAGTGATCATATATTATATATCTGTTTTCATGTGTAATATAATCTGGTGATTCAGAATCAGTACTTACAGTAGGTTTCTTGCAGAGAAAACAACTGTTCGAACCCTAAACCTCTAAAATCATATTGCTTCCCTGCATGAAAGATGGAAACTGGAGTTGTCATCATCCAAGAACCAGTCTTGAAAAAGGTATGATGATGATGATTTATGATACATATATATCCTCTTTCTCTCTTTCACTCTATTTTAGAATTTTGATTTTACAACTAGGCTAGATTATTATAACTTTCTATATTGGGTGATCAGTAAGTTTAATTAAAATGAAAAAGTATGTTTCCTTTTTTTTCTTTTGCAGTCTGATGATTGAAAACTTTAAAATGATGTTAGAGATCTTGAAAACAAGATTATGTAAAATCTGTAATCTGTTTTACTCTCTGGCTACAGATTGTGTATTTTAAAACACCTTTTTATCCATACACACAGAAAAGATAGATCTTACAAGAACTTGATCAGTGTCTGAGAATTGCATCTGAAAGTTGATAATTTTCAATACAAACTTTTCTGACTTAAAAGATAAAATCTACGATTTGGGATATGTCTGATCATAGTTTTGTTTCAAGTTTTTGGATTAAGGCTCTGTATAGAGCAGATTTGTGATAATCTGAAATTAAACGTTTTGAGATATTAACATGTTTCTTATATGCAGACAAGTGTTGAAGAAGCTCCTGCAGGAGTGATACTTGACCACTCATCCATGGAAAGTAGGTAAGGCAAACCTGAGTACTGTTCTTGATGATGAGATCACAAGCCGAGATTGCAGAAACAATATTATTTCGGGAGAAGCAGATGTTGTAAATGGTTCAGGTAATCGAGCAAGAAACTGCCACACATTCAGAATGTTTCAAAGTTCTTGCATGAAAATTTATGCTCTAAAACTGTTCTATATGATCAGGGAATAAAGAACGCGAGAGATCAGAACTCGAAAAAAGAGAAGCCATAAAGACTAATTCGGTTGTAGAAGACAGTAAGATCGTTAAAGAGAAAGCTAGTGAGACAGATGATTCTGAGATAGTCTTAAGTGATGTGATTTCAGAGAAGGAGATAGAAGATGATCTTACCCGTAAACAAGAAGAGGTATTTTTTTAAGTTCCTTGACGTTCAAACATGAGAGATGCTCAAAATTCACTGAGATAGTATTAAATATTCTGTTCTGTTTTGTGCAGGTAAGTATCGAAAAGCCAATAATAGAAGAAGATCAAACTGAAACCAAACACTCACCAGAGCAAGAAGAGAAGATAAGTACCAACTCTAAGGTATTGAATGATACTGCACCAGTTAAAGTCGATGAAGACAACGTAAAGAAGAGCTTACTCTCGGTAAGTGTCTCGTTTTTACGTTGCTCATGTGTTTTCCATGTTCTCTATCTTCAGAACTAAGAAACTGTAATCTATTGCAGACTGATCAAATAAAAGAAGAAAAAGATTCAAGAACTGTTGAGACATCTGTAAATGGAACAGAAGCTGAGCACAATGCAACGGTTTCTGTAGAAGACATTCCAAGAAACAGTGAGAACATTGTGAAAGAAACAGCTCCAGAAGAGACAACAACAACAACAACAACAACAAATGCTGAAACTGCAGAAAAAGCCCTTTTTGAAGAGGAAAAAGATGCAGAACCGAGGCCGGATGCAAAAGAAAAAGATGAAACAGAGATCGTTAGTAATGAAGAAACTACATCTCATCAATCTGAAATATTGAAAGGAGATGATCGACAGAAGGAGACTGCAGAACCAGTGGAAACAATCAAAAACTCAGACGATTCAGGGCAAGTCTCAAGTGAAGTGACTGTAGACCATAAGGAAGAGGACACAAACCGAAAAAAAGAAGAGGTTTTATATTGATTCCTCCAAGCTTAAGATCAGTTTTGAGCAAAAACTTGTTTCAGACAATTAACACTACTTTTATCTTTTCCTGTGCAGGTGCTAGGAAGTCTAACAGTTACCGAAACGCCGACAATACAAGGAGAAGACACTGCATTGAAAGCTTTAAAGGATAATGAGGAACCTGAACATGTGTTGGTAAGAGACATACCACAAGCTGAGACTTCAACAGTACAAGAATCTGCAATCTTGAAGACTTTGGAGACGAAAACTGATGAAACAGCTGCAGAACCGAGTTTGGACCTGAAAGATGATAAAGAACATGAGGAAGCAGAGACGGTAAAGACCATCGTATCATCTGAGGAGGTAAGGAAATTTATCTTCATAGATATTAAGAACCATTAATGTAGAAGTTAATTAGTCAACGGCTTGAGTTTGTTATGTTTGTTAAGGACAAAACTACTTTTGTCTTAATTTATCAAACCTGAAAAAACAGAAGAGGTTTTAATCTTAATTTTCTCAAAGCTAAAGATCAGATTTTAGCAAAACTCATTTCAGAAAACGTAATAAACTCTATCTATCTTTTTGTCTGCAGGTGCAAGAAAGTATTCCGGTAATCAAGCCGCCACAAGTCTCACCAAAAGAACTTGAGGAAGAAGAAGATCAAAGCTCCAAAGATACTGAAGGAGATGAACATGTCTTGGGGAGAAACATGCCACAGAGTGAGATATTTGTAACTAAAGCTGAGACTTTGGAGACCAAAGAAGATACAGAGCCGATTATGGACCTGAAAGAGGATAAAGAACAAGAGAAAACAGAGAAACTTGAAGAAATTCCATCAGATCTTGCGTTGAAGGTTGATAAAACGGAGCTAAAGGATGAAAAGATAAAGGTAGATAAAGTTGATGGAGCTCAGACTATGGAGCAACAGAGAGGCTTAGACGTGAATGAGTCAGAGGCAGAGCCAATTGATGGAAACAGAACCGATGAAACAGAGGAAAGCCAAGTTGAAAAATTGGTTTCTCTTCCGGATGTATCAGAGGCCAAAAGCAAAGATGTAGCACTGCATCAAGAAGATCAAGAGGAAGGTTCCTATGGATTTGAGACAAAAGGTAGTGAGCTTGGAGAAAAATTAGTCATGGAAGAAAGGAGTGTGACTGATCTGACTCCTCTGCAAGAAGAATCATGCCTGAGAAACATGCAAGAAAACGAAACAAAAGTGGAGAAAGAAAAAATAGACAAGCATGAACTAGCAAATGAAGAAGTTTCTAATGACCAGCAGAGTCTTTTGGAAGAAAATTCTGATGAAGTTTCATCTGCAGCACCTTCAGGTGAGGCTGTTGTTGAAACCAAAAAGATTGAAGACATAAAAGCGAATGAAGAAGAAGAACAAGTAGGAGACAAGATCCAGAAAACTGTTGAGACTGTTAAAACAGTTGATGTCGAACCTGTAAAGTTTAATGAAGACGAAATAGAGGAGAGCTCAAACTCGGTAAGTTTTCAGTTTTACATTATTCCCTGCGTTTTTTGCGTTCTCCTATCAGCAGAACTAATAAAGCGTACTCTAATGCAGACCCGTGAACAGATACAGAAAAAGAGCGTGGATAAAGAGAATGTACCAATAGGTGAGACTAATGAAGTAAATGAAGAAAAAGCTTCAAGAACTGCTGAGACCTCTGTAAACGGAACAGAGGTTGAGCATAACGCAGCGGTTTCAGTAGAAGAAATCTCGAAGAACACTGTGAATGAAACAACTCCAGAACGAGTGGAAGCAATCAAAAGTTCAGACGATGCAGAGAAAATATCACATGAAGTGAGTGGAGACAAAAAAAAAGAAGAGGACATAACACGAAAAACAAAAGAGGTTTTGTCTCAGTTCCTCAAACAGATAGATCAGATTCGAGCAAAACATGTTTCAGCCAAGAGTATTTCAACTATCCATCCTTTTCCGTGCAGGTGCAAGAAAGTCCTACGGTAATCTCAATACAAGGAGAGAACATCGACTTGAAAGCTTCAAAGGATACTGAGGACCATGAACATGTGTTGGTAAGAGATATGCCACAGTTTGAGACCCTTGTAATTGAAGCTGAGGCTGTAGATGCTTCAAAAGTCCAAGAAGCTGCAATTTCGAAGACTTTGGAGACCACAACTAATGAAACAGACGCAGGCCAAGAGACAAAAGAAGACAAAGAACCGAGCCTGGACCTGACAGAGGAGGTGGAAGATGACGAGACAATGGTAGATAAAGTTGATGGAACTCAAACTACGGAGGAACAGAGAGGCCTAGACTTGTATGAGCCAGAGGCAGGGCAAATTGATCTAAACAGAACCGATGAAACAGAGGAAAGCCAAGTTGAAAAGCTAGTTTCTCTTCCGGATGTAGAATCGGTTGAGAAGATGCAGAAGCCATCTCCGGAGTCTCATTCTGAAGTATCAGAGGAAACAAGCACAACTGTCGATGAAAAGATCGAAGAAAAACCACAAGGAGAAGACTTAACACTGCATCAAGAAAGTCAAGAGGAAGCTTCATATGGGTTAGAGACAAAAGAAGAGACTCCATTAGTAGCAGAAAGTAGTGGCCTTGGAGTAAAAGCCCAGGAAGAAGAATCATGCTTGCCAAAAGAAACAGAGTTGCAGAAAGAGAGAACAGAGAAGCATGAACCAATAAATGAAGTTCCTAATGACCAGCATAGTCTTGTGGAAGAAAAATCTGAATACATTGAAGACATAGAAGCGAAAGAGGAAGAAGAAGTAGCAGATAAAATCCAAAAAAGTCTTGAGACTATCGAAATAGCAGAACCTCATAGTTCATTGCCATTATATTCAGAGGAGCAAGATCATGAAGCTGCTTCCGAGAAGATAGATGACAAAAAAGTGAAGGAGGAAGAACCGATAGTCCAAACATTAAGTGAGGAAGATGTAACAAAAAGCCATGAGAGACAAGAAGAAGTTTCTAAGACTGGAGATACAACAGTCGTTAAAGAGGAGCAGACTCAAGCGGTGGAAAAAGTCAAAGATGAGCAAAAAAATGTTACATCAACAACAAATGGGGAAAAAAAAGCAAATGAATCTGCAACTGAAGCTGAGACTGTAGACGCTTCAACAGTACAAGATGCTGCAATTTTGAAGACTTTGGAGAACACAACTAATGAATCAGAGGCAGTTCATAGCCCAATTGGTGGAGAAGAAGAAGACATAAAATCGAGTCTGGACTTGAAAGAGGATAAAGAACAAGAGGAAACAGAGACGGTTAAGACTGTCATCTTATCTGATGAGGTAAGGATATGAATCTCCGTATATATTGTTGGTTCTTTGTGTGTGTGATATTGATTCAAAATCAATGGCATGAGTTTTTGGTTACGGCCAAAACTACTTTTTTCACTCTAGAGCTAACTCAAGTTTACTCTACAAGCTTCTGAATCGGTTGCATCTAATAATGAAAATTCATATTTTATAATTGAAAGCTCTTAATCTTCTCGCCTGTTCTTGTATTCAAAGTCTCTGCATTCCTAAAAATTTGTTTATTTCAATGAACAGGTGAGATCGTCTGAGAGCCAGGGAAGAGAAGAATCTGTTGAGGTCAAACCTAAGGAGATTGTTCAAGACGAGAGCACTCATGAGAAGGTTGAGAATCTTCTTGATGTACCATCCCTAGAACCTTCTTCTAAAGTATCTGAGGAAACAAGCAAAGCCGTAGATGAGAAGATCAATGAAAAACTAGAAGAAGAAGTGACACTGCATCAAGAAGGTCAAGAGGAAGGTCCTGGTGGGTTAGAGACAAAAGAAGAGACAATTTCATTTCCACAAAGTACTGAGCTCAGAGAAAAATCACAGGAAGAAGATTCATACCCGTCAAATGAGCAAGAAAAAGAAACAAAGTTACAGGATGAGCAAATAGAGAAGCATGAATCAGCAAGTGAAGAAGATACTAATGCACATCAGACTCCTGTGGAAGAAAATTCTGATAAAGTTACACAAGTTTCATCTGAGACCGTAGTTGAAGCTGAAAAGATAGAGAAAAGTCTTGAGACTGTTGAAACAGATGAGCCTCATAGTTCATTTCCGTCATCTCCAGAGGAACATGGGAGTGTTGCAAAATGTGAGAAGATAGAAGACGGAAAAGAGAAGGAGACAGAACCGATGGGAGATATGACCGAGAAAGGTCCTGATATTTCTGGAACAAGAGATCTGAAATCTAGATCACATGGAACAGAGTCCTCTGAATTGGTTACAGAATTTGAGGAACAGAAGCCGAAGCAAGTCAAAGAGGTTCTTGAAGGGGAAAGAAAGGAAGTCGATGAGACAAAAGCAGAAAGACTTCCTTCAAGTGAAAACATTCCACAAGAGGCTCTCTCTGATGTTGTGGCGCTCCAAACAAAAAGAGAAGACGATGGAACAGAAAGCCACGAGAGGCAAGAGGACCTTTCTAAAGCTGTAGAGACGAAAGAAACAATGGTTGCACAAGAAGACCATACAAGAGATATTGGAACTTCTTTGACAGAAAAAGGTTCTATGAATCAGACTCAACAGGAAAAACAAGTCAACGAGGAATGCTCCAGATATGAGAAGGAAGAGGTCAGTTTAACAGAAAAGGAACAAACAGAGAAAGAAGATGATAAACATGTTGATTCTTCAGAGAAATATGATAGTGAGACTCAGCTTGCAGAAACAAAGAAAGAAGATGAAGACAGAACTGTGGTTTTAGATGGTTCAGGTACCTCAAAGACATCAGAAAATGTATGCATCAAAGAAGAAGAGTTTGAGAATCTTGAAGCTCCAAAGCTAGAGGAGTCAAAAGAAAACAAGAGCCATGAAATTTCTGGAACCATCAAAGCAATAGAAGCTAAGGGTGATCAGTCTCTAGCAGTTGAAACACCAGAGGCAAATCAGACTCCATCCTTTGTTTCAGAACTAGAAGACAAAATTCCAAAGCAAATTGAGGACATTCATGAAGAAGAAACAAAGGAAACACAAGATTTACAAGTTGTGGTTGATCGGAATCTTCCAGTTGAAACATCACAGAAAGAGCAGACTCCGACCTTGATTTCAGAACATGATGAACTGCAGACTTCAAAGAAAGTTGAGGAGATTCATCAAGAAGAAACAAAGGCACACAAGTTGCAAGAAGAAGAAAATCTCCCTACCGAAATTGTTCCAAGAGAATTCAGAGAAGATTCAGTTTCCACATTGGCTTCTGGAGAAGACGATCAAGTGACTGTGCAAGAAGGTGATTGTGCAGGTGACAAGAAAGAGGAAAAAGATGTTTCTGCAGAAACAAAAGAGAGTGGAGGAGAAACAAAACCAAAAGAACCAGAAGTGGAAAGAGCAGAAAATTCAGATGATCAGATTGAGACTTCAACTAAAGTCACAAAGCTAGAAGATGAAGATACAAAGACTACGGATACTGAATTGCCACAATATCTGGAGAATGCATGCCTGAAGCAGGAGGAGTCAAAGGAGCTCGGAGATGAGACTAGCTCAACTCTTCCAGTTGTTGGAATCTTGAAAGAACTCCAAAATACCTTAGAGACTGAGAGAGAAGTCAATGACTCCTCACCATTGGGAGAAAAAAAGATAATAGAGCCAACTGAACAACTACAAGAGACAGATGATGCTGATGCTGAATCAAGTGTGAATGATCTGCATTCATGCAAGGCTGAACCAGAAACCCTGGAGAAGAATCTTGTTACTGATATGAGCGAGCCAGTATCTGAAGAAAAAAATGATAAGAAAGTCATGGAGGAATCCTCAGCTTCTGAGATAATAGAAGCAAACATGCTACAACTTGATGAAACTGGGGAAGCTGAAAAAATTCAGGAAGAGGACATTCTTGCAGGAAAACCTCTTCCAGTTGAAGAGTTCAAGTTGCAAGAGGAACATAAAGAAGCAGAAAAGGTACAAGACGGCATAAGCAGAGAGTTTGAAGTTATTGTCGAAGACAAATTAAAAGACGAAACTAAGGAGATTGCAGAGTGCAAGGAAGAAACTCCAGCTGGTCTTGTAGTCACATCAGAGAAGCAGATCACAGTGCCACCGAGTGAAGCTGAGAAAGAATCAAATGAAGAACATGTTGAATCTCAAGCGATATTAGATGATACAAAGAGAAACAACGAAGAGGTTAATGCAGATAAATCTCTCACAAAAGAAGCACTAGATAAACTTCAAGTTCCATCCTCAGCAGAACTGAAACCAAGTGAACTCATCACAAGCGAAAACGTCCAAGTGCAAGATCAGTCCAAGGAATTTGAACAAGAGAAGAAGTCGAGTGGTCTCACACATGTCCAGGAAGATAGTGGTAAAAATGCTAAACTAGAAGTTCTTGATGATGAAATAAGAGGTGATGGCCATGATTCAGTTGTAACAAGAAAGGAAGAAACAGGCTCAACAGAGGAGAAGAGGGAGGCTGATTATGTGAACACAGAGCCGGAAGATGATATCAAACATGGAGTTTCTGCAGAAGAGGTAATATCTATAGCAAAGAAACATAAGAATATTAGTTATACTATGATTCTACTAATTGTCTTGTGTTGCTAAACAAGTTTTTTATTGACAATGCAGAGGAACAACTCGTGTGAAAAGACTGACCGTGAAGCAACAGAAGATAAATATCAAGAGAAGACTGCTATCAAGGAAGAGATCAAAGAAGAAGAGGTCTGACAAAGAAACTATTCAGTAGTTTTTTGCTTTTGTTTCACAATCATCTATAATCCAAGAGATACTTGCAGAAAAATAATATTGAAGAAACCATGTTTTTGCAGAAGGAAACAACGCAGGAAAGTTTCAACAGTATGAAGAACACAGATGATGCAACAGAGAAAACAAAACCTGAGATTCTGGAGACCGAAAACTTGTCTTCTGTCAGTGACAACACACAAGACAAATCATTAAAGGTAAGTGAATGTTTCTTTGGTCTCATCATCCTATTCTTTTGCATAACTAAATGACACAAACTCTTCCAAGTCACAAGAAAATTCCTCCAAACAAATAATATTTATCTTCATTTTTGCAGCAAAAAGATGAAGTTCCAAACCAGCAGAAAGATGATGATGTTCCAAAGGTAGAGAATCTAAAGATTGCAGAAGAATTGCAGCAAAAAGATGGAGAATTTGACAAAAACAAAGAACCTGAACCAACAGTGAAAGAACCGGCAAGGAAATCATTATCTGACCTCATCCAAAAAGTGAAAGGAACAAGCAATATTGAAGATAATACAACAAAACCACATATCGAAGAAGATCCCAAAACAGAGGAAGAAGATGAGGATGAAGATGAGCATAAAGATGATAAAACAAGTCCAGATTCTATTGTGATGGTTGAAGCTAAAGATACTGTTAGCATTACCAAAACCAATAACAAGAAATCACAAGGCATTCTCTCTGGAGTTGGTTCAAAGGTAAAGCATTCAATTTCAAAGGTGAAGAAAGCACTCACTGGGAAGTCTTCTCAATCAACAAAGCAGTCTCTATAATGTGTTTTTTTTTGTTTTGTTTTCTGGTTTGTTGATTGTTTTGATTGGTTTTTGTGAATATCACAGATTTGTTTATGTGTTTTTTTTTGTTCGTTTTCAATAAAGTGCAGAATGAATTGGTGTGGCTACATTTTCATATGTTTGAGAAAAAATGATTATATATAAGAACAGAAAAACAACACAACAAGAAGATAGTGCATTCCAAGAATTCAAAGAAAAGAATTAGTAAAGAGAAAAGAGATTGCTACCTCGTTTTTTATCTTTCCTGATCGCAAAACGCATTTAAGGGATTTTGAAAGTTGTTTTATACTTTCTCGTCAAACATATAAGAAAAGGGTAACAAGAAAAACAAAAATGATCTAACATAGTGTTATATGGCAAGGCCCAATAAACAAATCTCGAAGGAAGAAGAAACATAATAATAGACAATATCTTATTTAATATTCGTTAACAAAGTAAGTTATTTACTTATTTGTGATTTTTTTTACAAGTTCAATTTATAAGCAAAACAATAGAAATGTGGTATTTTCTTATAAAATACTAAACATATTTAAATTTATTTCTTTAATGAAATTTTTTAACATCGTTAAAATATATTTAAGAAGAGATATATTATTGCTATATTTTTTCACAGAAATATGTTAGAATGAACAATTATTTTTCCAGTGGTAGACATTGAAACTCACTGAATTCAAAGGTTTAATTGGGTAGTTGCGTGTTATATATCAATGGACCCAAAATTATATGAAACAAAAAAACATTTGATACTTAACAATTATAACAGAAATAAAAACTACCTAAAAGAGAATAATCAGTTACATGTTTAACATATATAGAAGATATTGAAATTTCTCCAATCATCATCATTTGTGGCCCTATGTCATTTCTTGTTCAATGGCTACTGTGTTATTTAATAAAACTTGAATTAAAGTAATTTTTTGTGATAACCATAAAATAGATCAAAATTAATAAAATAAAATGTTTATAGAGAAAATAATCAAATATAATGAGTGGTCAAAAGTACAAATATAAACATATCTCTATCCTCTTTAACTCTTAATTCTTTTCCGTATCAAATTTTTGGTAATTTTTGTTTGTAATAGAAAAATTAATCATGGAATATAAAGAGAAACTAGTTTTTTTTTAGCAGAAACGTGAAATTGATTTAATTTATATGAAATGATCATAGCAAGAAACACATTAGAGAGAAGAAGTTAAAGAAAGAGAACAGAAAAGTGTCTAAATGAGAGGCCATTTTGGCATTATATGTTTAGTTACATGACCATGTAGATTAAATAGTCATAGGGTGTATTAAATTGTTTTGTGCCACTTGTTTGTAAGTCGACCAAATTTTTAATATTTTCATAACTCACAGTTGTCAAAAAACTAAATTTATTACCTTTTAAATGGTTTTTACCTTTTTTCAAACTAATTTTTTAAAGAATCTAATGTTTATATACATACATATATATATATATATTGAAATTCAGAACCAAAGATTTTTTCCTTTTTTGCTAATTTTTTTCTAGGATTTTGTGTAATATTTTTGTTTTTTTTCTTTTTACATTTCTAAATTCAAGAAAAATATTTCTTTAATTCTTATCCAAATCTAAATTGATTTTTCATTTTTAAAATAAATTATTATAATTTTCATGAATCTGAGTTGATGTTGAAATGAATTTCTTGTTAAATATCACTAATAAAAATTTCATCAGAAATAACACTCACCATTATCTTAATGATGATGATTTCACTTAAATACAGAAAGATTATCCTAATTCTTTCAACGAAAATGTAGGACAACTTTTCATGAATTAAATGGTTTCTTCAACTAATTTTTATTGGTATTTTTGATCATTTTTACCAAAATCCAAGACTATTAATCAATAATAATGAATATTTTGGTTAACCATTGTACCAAAAGGGGCTTCCACTTTTAAAATGAACTTATAAATGATATTTATTTTCACAAAAATATGTTATTATGAACAATTCTTTTCTAGTTGGTAGATTAAAAACTCACTATATTCAAAAGTTTGAGTTACTAATTGATTCCAAAGTGTTATATATTGATGGACCCAAAATGATATGAAGCAAAAAACATGTGTACTTAAAAAAGTCTAAAAAGAAAATAAAAATTACCTAATGGAGAAAATAAATCGATTACATGTCTAACATGTGTAAAAAATATTGAATTTTCTCCATTTGTTTGTGGTCCTATATCATCTCTCTTTTACTGGTTAATGTAAAACTCTAATTATGGTAAATTTGTGTGATAATATAAAACGGGTCAAAATTAATAAAATAATATTTTTAGAGAAAATAATTAATTTAATAAATAGTCAAAAATACAAAATGGTGCCACTCTTTAATTAACTGTAATTAGAGTTTTATTATGAAAATTAACTAAATTATAATTTCAAAATGGTGTCACTCTTTAGATTTGAAAGAATGGAAAACTATTAATTTATATGATAAACACTAAATAGAACAAAACTGCATTTTTTATATTGTGTCTATATAAAATGATGTGTTTTCAGTTTACACTTAGAATCACTTATCAACTTTTTGAGTAATTTTGTAATAGAAAGTTTATATCATGATATAACCCAAAAAAACTAATTTTTTTAGCAGGAGAAATTGGTTCAATATGTATATGAAATGATCAAAGCAAAAAACACATCAGAAAGAAAGAGTTTTTTTTTGGAAATAAACATAAAAAAGAAAACAGAAAATGTGTAACGAAGAGAAAATTTTGGCATTTTAAAGTTAACTATTTATAGTTACATGACCATATAGATTAAAGGGTCCTTCGGTGTATTAAATTGTTTCCCCCCATTTGTTTGTAGAGTCAATTGACCAAATTTTTATTCATTAATAACTCATTATTGTCGAAGAACTAAATTTATTACTTCTAAATAACTTTTATTTTTTTTATTTTTAAACTACTTTTTAAAAGAATACGATATTTATATATATATATATATATATTGATTTCTGGACCACAGTTTCTTCTACTTTTGCTAAATTCTTTTCAAAGATTTTGGGTAGCTTTTATTTATATGGTTTTCCATTTCTTCCTTCCATATTTACAAAATCAAGCAAAATATTTTTTGGATTTCATACCCAGATCTAAACTGATTTTTTTGTTTTGTTTGAAAAAATTACTATAGTTTTTATGAATCGAGTGGGTGTTGATATGGATTTTTCGATGAATATCTCCAACAAAGATTTCATCATAAATACTGCTCACCATTCTCTAAATGATGATTTCTCTTACGTACACAAAAATTATCCTAATTTTTTCGATGATAATTCAGGCCAAGTTTTCCTAAGTGGATGGTCTCATCAACCAATTCTTACCGAATTTTCCGATCACTTTCACCAAAATCTGATTTCATTGATCTCAAACCAAAATAACGATTCCCTCAATCAAACTTTAGTTACTACTCAAAATCTTCCGGTTTCCAATCTTCCTACAGTTGAAATACCTTCAAAATATCCATTCATAGGTATTGATTCATATTCAGGAATCGACAATTCTGAAGAGCCTATGAATAACATAGCGAACAACAACACAAATTTTATGACCTACAACACCGCAATCTCTGAAGAACCTAGGGGTATATTCAGCAATTTTCATGATTTTCAGGGAAAAATTATGTGGGATGATACCATACACAACAATGGGCTCATAAATAGTGGTTATGGACCAACTTTTAATAAGTTTATGGTTGAATCTCATCCAATTGATTTTCCAGTGAATAACGGTATAAAAAGCACAACCAGAGAGGACATGAGTGGAGGTCCAGTAATGATACAAGCTAATCAAGAGAAGAATAAGAAAGTGGTGATGAAAAATAAACATTTGAAGAAAGCTAACATCACCACAGGGAAATGGACTCTTTTAGAGGACACGTAAGTTTTATTTTTTTTTATTTATATACAGAAAATCTAAAAACAAAATTATTTTGTTACATCCTCGAATTTCTCACATATTTTTTATATTAAATACTTTTTAGATAATGTTATAATATTTTAATGTGTTGTGACATGTAAATATATAGTAAATTAAAAGAACTTGTGGAGATTTATGGAACAAAGAAATGGGGAATGATCGCAAAGATGGTCGGAGGACGATTAGGAAAACAATGCAGAGAGAGGTGGCACAACCATCTTCGTCCTAACATCAAGGTGATCTTTTTTTCTCGAATTATTTACTGTTTTTAAGTATTTATTTCTTTATGTGAAGCATGTGTTTGAGTATATAAGCATATACACAACTCATATTGTGCTCGTGTATATATCCATGAGTAAACATGCATGATCTTCCTCCTTTTTTGGTCAAAATAATTATTTTTTATGTAAGTAACTTTTAAAACAAAACTTTGAATTCTATCAATTTTATCCTGCTTCCAACAGTCAAAACTCATAAGAATATAATTTAAACATTATTTATATTTATACATTCAATCATATTTAACTAATATGTTATTTTAGATGGATGCTTGGACTAAAGAAGAAGATCAAATATTGATTGAAGCTCACAAGGTTGTTGGAAACAAATGGACTGAGATTGCCCAGCAACTTCCCGGACGAAGTGAAAATTCTATTAAGAACCACTGGAATTCCACAATACGTCGGATGAACTTGATGAAAGCTAAACAAAATCATGAAAATGCAAATAACATCCTCGAAAACTACATTGGGGGTGTCACAATCAACAATGATTCTCTCAATGCTATTAAAACTGCTGGTATAGTAGAAAACACTAAGGATGATGAGAAGAGGAATTTGAGCTTGGGTGTTACAACACAACCCACTGCACTGGTGGTAGATGAGTCATCAACATCAACATCAGTTACTGTTCCGGAGCTAGCAACAATTTCATGGGATGATTATATCGATCAACTTTGCGAATCTGTAGATGATCCTCTGATGTTTATGCAAGGATTGGAAAATGGTCTGGTAAACTAAATTTCTCTTTATCATCTCAGGTGATATATCTATCTATCATTTTAACAAACATATATGTGATTGTTATGTGGTATGTTATTTGAATAAAAGACCAATTAAGTATATTCATCTTGTAGTTTTTTTTATTTAAGTATTTTCATTTCACAAGGATATGCATACTTAACCCTTATATTGAATGAGAATTGCATTTTTTTGTGTAATATGGTTTCCGGATCAGCATTTTTTCTATTTATAAATATAGTTATCAAATTTTTTTGATTAGCTATTTTTTCTCTTCAAAATTTTCGTATAGGTGTTTTGAAAATGTGTAAGACAAACTTAACCTTTTTTCTGAAGAAGTAATCCAACAAAAACATTGTATTGTTCTATAGTTTAAAAGATAAACTGCATCACTTCTATAAGTTTAGTTTTTAAACTTAAAAATGTGTTGTTGTGTTTTCATAGGCCAATATAGACAGGACATGTCCCAATCATCTCCTCCATGTCCAAGATTATATTTTTGAGTTCAATACAATTGATATGAAGAAAGACAAACAAAACAAAGATATTTATTAAAAAACAAAAATTCAAAATACTGCAGCAAAAATATGCAGATTGTGAGAACTCCAAATGCGTTATTTCATAAGTTAAAGAATCTGATACATTACTTAGTACAAAATATTCATTGAATTTAAAACTGTTAAATATTATACTTAGTACAAAATTATCTAGGAGAAGCACTATAGCATTTTAAGACCAAAAATAATTATTCATGCATATCAAAACCCAAAACAAAATATTACACATATATATATATATATATATATATATATATTCATAAAAATTTAGAGATAAAGAGAAACTTTTACATGTTTACCACGTGTTACTAAATAAAAAATACCATATATCAGCTATTTTGTAAACCAACACTCTATAAACAGAAAAAAAGTTATGACTAATGCGTATAAAGAATTACTTAAATAAATTTGATTAAAAAAAAATTAGAGAGAGATAAAACGTTTACATGTCTACCATGTGTTACTGAATGTAACAAGTACTATATATGAGCCATTTTGTAAACCAACATTCTATAAACCAAAAAATATGATTTGATGCATATCAAAACCAGAAAGGAAACTATTATCCTAAAAAATGATTTATAATATTTTAGAGAGGAAAGAATTTTTTTACATGCATTCTACATATTTTCAATTTGTTAATGGATTTTTTCAATAATTATAATTAAGGGACTCTATAATTAATGGTTACAAAGATAAAGATAAAGAAGGAGTTTGAGAAAGATATATAGAGTTAAACATACACTAAAACTAATGAACTAGCTTTTAAAAATAATTAAAGCTATGAAGGAGCTAGAGAAATAGCCCATTAAAGGTCTCTAGTTGTGTGATCAAACTTAGATTAGAAGAGGCTTGGTTAAGTCATTTGAAATTTAAAATTCTGTTGAAGAGATTCCATAGTGATTTTAATTTATAGGTCTTAAGATGTTCTAATGTTTCTCTTAGATAATTTAATCACGAATAAGATATAAGATCAAAAGATACATATTAATGAATCTAGTCCAAATATGAATGGTTTTCAATCTATGAAGCTTGAAGGAGTATTCATGATGAGACCATTTTTGAGCAATAAATGCATCTTTTCCAATATGTTTAGACGGACTTCTACAAACAATCTCATTTGCTCGGTGGAAACTACAATTTGGCTTCATTTACGCCCCCATCCATTCCCCCCCCCCATCCCAACAAAAGCAAACAATCGCAAGTTTTTGCTTTTCATGATCTTAAATAATTGAACGATGTAGCAAACAAAATTTCACTTTTTCCATCAAGTATCGAACTTCAAAAACAATTTTAATCATTCCTTAAATTTGATAACAGGAATCTTTTTCTTGACTAATTTTCCTGAAGAAGTGAAAATAATCTTATCATTTCTAAAGAACTCTAGAAAACAAAACCTAAAAATATGTTTAGAATGTAAAAGATATGATAATCTCTTATTCAATTCTGCAATATTCACTTTCTTTAATTAGCCTCTTCTAGAGTCTTCTCTCTCGACTCTGTATATATATGTATTCTCTGTCAATATTCCTCGATAAGAAAATATCATTTCATACATGGTATCAGAGCGGGTGTTACCCTAATCTCAATTTTTCGTTTCTTTTCTCTTGGCTGCCGCCTCTCTTTTTGTCTCTCTTCTTCTTCTTCTTCTTCTCCTTATTCACCTCCTTCTTCTTTAACCAGCCAAAGTGTGTTGACATCATGTCCACCACATCCGCCGAAACAGTGAACACCATTGCCCAATCTCTTCTCAACGTGAACATGATCAATGTCACAAAACTAACATCGAGCAATTACCTGATGTGGAGCCTTCAAATTAACACTCTTCTCGACGGCTACGAACTCGCTGAGTATCTCGACGGATCCACTCCAGACACCAACGGTCACTGTCAATGGCACGACAAACCCTTATCCTGATTTCACCTTCTGGAAACGCCAAGACAGGTTGATTTTCAGCGGTCTCATCGGCACTATCTCAGTCACCATCCAGCCTCTTGTCTCCAAAGCCAAAACTTCTGCAGACATATGGCGGACACTTGCTGATACATACGCTAAACCCAGCAGAGGGCACTCCCAGCAACTACGTCTTCAACTCAAAATCTGGACCAAAGGTACGAAGACCATCGACGAGTACGTGCAAGGTCTCACCACAAGGTTCGACCAACTGGCAATTCTGGAAAAACCCATTGATGCTGAAGACCAGCTTGAGTACATTCTCGCCGGGTTACTTAACGACTACAAGGTCATTGCTGATCAACTTGAAGGTCGCGATGTTACACCGTCGATCACCGAAGTACACGAGAAGCTTCTCAACAAAGAAGCCAAATTGTTGTATGTTGCTGCGTAATCCTCTTCAACACCAGTCACAGCCAACGTAACAACCAATAAACCTCATGGAAGAAACCAATCGAGCCATAACCAGAAGTACCAACAGCAGTGGAATCGCAACAACAACAACAACTCTCGTGACAACAGAGGATCTCGTGGATATCAAGAAGGATATCAAGGCAAGTGTCAGCTGTGTGGAGTATACGGTCATAGCGCAAAGCGATGCAACCAACTCAACCAACAGTATCAAGCCCCTCACAACAATCCGGTGGCATCACAATACCCACCTTGGCAACCTCGCGCAAATCTCGCAATGGGAGCTCCCAATCCACACTCTGTCTGGCTCATGGATAGCGGTGCCACCCATCACATGACCAGTGACCTTAGCAACCTTTCTCTTCATCAGCCTTATCAGGGCAACGATGCAGTGCTCATTGGTGACGACTTCAGTTTGAACATAACTCACACCGGTTCCCTTTCTATCCCCTCTCAATCTCGAAACTTTACTTTAAATAATGTCTTATGTGTTCCACACATTCATAAAAATCTCATTTCTGTATACCATTTATGCAACTCTAACAAAGTTTCTGTTGAATTCTTCCCTGTTCACTTCCAGATGAATGATCTGACTTCGGGAATCCCATTACTCCAAGGGAAAACTAATGGTGATCTCTATGAGTGGCCAGTCTCTCCAACTACTCTCAAATCTTTCTTTGCAATATCTGCACCAAAAACCACTATTGATGATTGGCATAATCGCTTAGGACATCCAGCACCTTCTATTCTTAAAACTATTGCATCTTATTCTATTCCTGTTTCGAATACTAAGTTCCAAAATACTATGCTCGGATTGCTCTATTAATAAAAGTCATAAGTTACCATTTGCTATTACTTCCATTTCTTCGTCTAGACCTCTTGAATTTATCTTTACAGATGTCTGGACTTCACCTGTGATCTCTGTGGACAATTACAAATATTATCTTGTCTTTGTTGACCATATTACACGATATTCTTGGTTTTATCCTCTGAAAACAAAATCGCAGGTCCGTGAGATGTTTATTCCCTTCAAGGAGTTAGTAGAAAATCGATTCAAGGAGAAAATTGATACTTTATACTCAGACAATGGTGGTGAGTTCGTCGCACTCAAATCATTTCTCTCCAATGCTGGAATTGCCACTATACATCTCCGCCTCATACACCAGAACACAACAGCATATCGGAGAGGAAACATCGCCACATCGTCGAAACCGGTCTCACTCTCCTCACCCATGCTAGAATGCCTTCATCGTACTGGACCTATGCGTTTGCGACGTCCGTTTACCTTATCAATCGGTTACCTTCACCTGTCATCAACATGGATTCTCCGTATCAAAAGTTGTTCGGTGAAAATCCCAATTACGACAAATTTCGTATCTTTAGGTGTCTTTGCTTCCCATGGCTCAGACCTTACACCAACCATAAGCTCGAGAACCGGTCTACTCTGTGTGTATTCGTCGGCTATTCCATCACCCAAAGCGCTTATTTATGTCTGCAACCAAGTTCCGGACGAGTTTACATTTTTGACGAAAAAGTATATCCGTTTCAGAATTCTAAAAACTCACCTCTTCTTATTCCATCACCTCTTACTACATATTCTCCCCTAGTCTTTATGATTCCTGTTACCCTGCAGGTACCAGCGACCATTCAATCGTTCGAGACGCAGCCGACGGCAGTCGTTCTCCACCACCAACTTCGCAACGCGATAAATTTGGATTAATTAGATTCAGTATAAGCGTTATTTTTAAATTTAAAAGAAAAAAAATTTGAACATGTCTATACGCGATAAATTAGTTTTTAATGTTTTGTATTAGTATATAACTTTTTCGTACTAAAAATGGCATGCATGAAAACTGCATGAAAACTACATTCACTTAATCTGATGAATCTTTGTATTTATATTTTTATTGTACAAGTTTAGATCTTTAAAAAAAAAATCTTCAAACAACTTCAAATTAAAGTACATGCATAGGTGTGTTTTCTTTTTTTTTTTCAACAGGTGTGTTTTCTTTTGTCTTGTTTTAAATTTGTGTCAGCGGAATAAGCGAAAACATCTTTTAAATCTCGTGAAAAAAAATTATAAAATAAAAAACTTGAAAAGAAAGAAAAGTGTTGAAACTTGGAAATCATGCAAAGCCACACCTCTACTACTCTAACATCTCACCGTCTTAGGTGTCCTCTTCTCATCACTCCATCTCTGTCTATAAAAAAACTTTCTCAAAACTTTCTAATCTTATTACAAAGTTAATTAAGAACAAAAAGAAGATAGAAGTATAAGTATTAGACATTTTGCTCAATTTTATCTTCTACTTAATGGCGGATACGCATCGCGTTGATCGTACTGATAGGCACTTGCAATTTCAATCACCATATGAAGGTGGCCGAGTTCATCTTCAGTATGAAGGTGGTGGCGGTTATGGTCCCGGCGGTTACAAGAGCATGATGCCCGAAAGTGGCCCAACTACCACTCAAGTAACGTTTATCTTTACTTCTTCATTTTTGATAAATACATCTTCATGTGTATACAAAGTTATTGAGATGATTCTTAGGATCAAACGAGACTCTGTTTTAAAATTAATCAGAGAACAAAGTAGACTATCTTGAAATAGATCGGAATTTACTGTTTTTTTACAAATTATGATGATGATTTTGACGCGGCAAATTGGTCAATTTATATATACATAAGATCTTAATAATATGATTGTTCATTAAATGTAATTGCTGAAAATGTCACCTGAAATGGACCGACTCATATAGTTACATGCGTATTCCTTTTCTAGATCTTTATTATTGTTAAATGAACATAATTTCTGAAATGACACCCAAAAGTTGTCTGACTGGTATAGTTACAAATTCATGTACTACCTCTTCTTAAACTGATTCTTATGATTGTTAATTAATATATTTTTGTTAAGCTCATGTATAAAATTGTTACCTGCATGATATATTAATAATGGTGGTTAATTAAATATCATTATTCATTTGTAAAGGTGTTATCTCTTTTGGTGGGAGTCCCTGTCGTCGGTTCGCTGCTTGCCTTAGCCGGTTTACTTTTAGCTGGTTCAGTGATCGGTTTGATGGTCGCTTTACCGCTTTTCCTTCTCTTCAGCCCGGTTTTAGTCCCAGCGGCTCTAACCATCGGGCTTGCGATGACGGGCTTCTTGGCCTCGGGAATGTTTGGTCTAACTGGACTTAGCTCGATCTCGTGGGTCATGAACTATCTTCGTGGGACCAGAAAGAGTGTGCCTGAGCAATTGGACTATGCTAAGAGCAGAATGGCTGATGCGGTTGGCTACGCTGGACAGAAAGGCAAAGAAATGGGCCAGTTTGTGAAGAATAAGGCCCAAGATGCTAAACAGTATGATATTTCTTCCAAGACCCATGATACTACTAAGGGTCATGAGACTACCCAGAAGACAGTAGTTTGATGAGGTTCTGTTTCAGTGGTAGTTTATCTATCTGCATTTTCAGGGTTTTTTTTTGTTTTTGGTTTTCTAAAATCAAGAATCGTGATGTGTCTGTGTTTCTGTAAGCATGAAGGATCATAAGTGTTTGTGGTAATATTTTGAATGTTCAAGAGTTTCTCTATTCTCTATGTCAGAAATGTTTATATACAATATGATAAATTAGAATAAATAAAAACTGCAACACTATTGAACGTTTATGTGTACGTAATTTATATACAGATAAAAAGAGTGAAACTGAACACTGAAAAGATGAGAGAATTGGGAAACTACCAATAATCTCTGCAAGAGCAAGAACCTTCTGAGAAATGGTGAAACCTCTTAGAATCTCTAATAATGAGTCTCCTTTCCTCCATCAAAGATATTGCTTTAGCTGTTTCATGACAATCTCCACATATTCTAAGATTCTTCCTTATGATTATTGGCTCCATAGGATTAATCACCAAAAGCCCAAACGCCATTGCAATCTTCTCGCTATGTTGATTGATCATTTCCTCTTTCACATCTTCATCTACATCATGCAATACAAACTCTGTTCTTGGTTTAAATCCCAATTCATTCGTCATCTTCTTTCTAATCTCTGTAAGCTTCTTCTGTATCCTCTCTGCCTCAGGATGAGACCAGTCTCCAACAACAAACTTATGAATCTTATTACCATGTTCAATGTAACTACACCCTGAAGCTCTTACAAGACCTTTATGTTTCATCAGATTCCTTATTCTTGAAGCATCTTTCCATAGACCAGAAGCCGAATAGATATTTGATAGCATTATGTAGTTTCTCCCAACACAAGGTTCCAACTCAAACAATCTCTCTGCGGCTTCTTCACCGAGTTTGGTATCTCCATAAACTCTACAAGCACCAAGCAAAGCTCCCCAAACACCAGAACTCGGCTCCATTGGCATCTCTTTGATCAATCTATAAGCTTCCTGAAGAAGCCCGGATCGACCCATGAGATCAACCATACATGAGTAGTGATCTAACCTCGGCTCAATCCCATATCTTCTCGACATTGTTTCGAAATAAACCTTCCCTTCGTCGACAAGACCTGAGTGACTACAAGCACTCAACAAGTGAGTGAAGGTTACATGATCAGGACTTACACCATTGTCAACCATAAGCTCAAATTGCTTTATTGCGTCTCTTCCATACCCATGAGTGGCATAAGCAGCAAGCATTGCTGTCCACGCCATGCTATCTCGAGATTTCATCTCCAGAAAAACCTTAGACGAATCCTCCAACCTCCCAAGTTTTGCATACAAATCTAACAAAGCCGTCGTTATACACTTGTTTTCACTAAACCCACAAAGCAAGATCAGCCCTTGAATCCCTTGCGCCAGTTTCACTACCCCAATAGCTTCACATACACGAAGAACAGCCAGAAAAGCGGCTTGATCAGGCTTATTCCCAACCTCTCTGCTCATGTTGAAGTAAGCCAGACCTTCTTCAGCTAACCCATTTTGCAAGTGAATCACAATCATCGTGTTCCACGAAACCAAATTCTTTACACTCGAACCCTCAAACAGTTTGCATGATGAAGCCAAATCTCCAGTCTTTCCATACCAATTGATAAGAGCATTCACAGCTTTCACTTCCTCAAGCACACCCGATTTCATCACCAGCCCGTGAACGCAACGTCCTTCTTCTCTACTTCTCTCATGAACACAAACCGATAAAATCGACAAAAACGTAACTTCATTGGGTCTAAAACCAAAACCCACCTCAGATCTCATCCTAGATAATGCCTTGAAACATTTTCCCAGATAACCTCTCCTTGAATACCCAGATATCAAAGAGTTCCACGAGACTAAGTCTCTCTCAGGCATTTCGTCGAACAGCTTCTCTGCGCAAACTTCATGACCCAATCTCAAGTAACATCCAACAAGCTGGTCCCCAATGAATCCATGGCGGTAAATCACAGTCTTCACTACTTTACAATGAAGCAAACGACATTTGTAAATGGAGACGCAAGAGGCTATAGAATCGATCAGTGACGTAACATTCGCCATCTAAAAACTCCAACAATCATACAAAGGAGCAGAAGCTCGTTCTTGAACAAAACTACTAAGTCAATAACAAATCAAGAAATGAGAATTATAAATTAGAATTTAGTAATAATATCTTTAATAGTTTCAGAACATGTAGAAGAAGCTGATAATTACTACATACTTTCAGTTAAATAATTACAGTTTATACACTAGAAAACAACATTTTTTCTTCTTCTCATGTGTGGATTATAATCTTAATTTGTAATATAAAGCTCTTGCTTAGCAATAAAATACCGACCAATAAGATCACCAGATTCCACCACAAACTGTTCTTGAAATCGACCAACGCGTCTGGTTCCGAGATCGAACCCGAGATCTTTGAAACTCGGAAGCCCTTCTGCTTGAACTCCATCACCACAAATCAAGAACTGGTTTCCGACAATGAACGAACCAGTTGCTCGAATCATGACTCCACCATTGCCATGAGGCTTGCACTGAAGCTTCTCAACAACATGAACGAGTTTCTCACTCGGCAAATCTCCTGCTAATGTGTTACGAATGTTTGATAATGCCGAGAAGATTTCTGTTGATCCTGTGTGATGTTTTCCAGAAAAACTGCAAAAAAAAAAGTTTTGAACTTTATCTGGTTTTGGATTTGCACATCTCTATGATATTAATATGCTTTAATTTGCATTGAAAATTGTGGGAATTTGGTTACCTGAAAACGGAAGTTTCAGTGTAGAGAGATTTTGTGTGGTGCCAAAGATCATCAAATCCATCAAAGAGGGAGTAATAATGTATGGTGAGCATCTGAACATAGACGCAATAAGATCCATTAACGTTAAGTTTAATTTGGCATTTACTAATTGAGAAAAAGTATTAAACCATCATACTTACATCTGCTATATCTTTCAATCTCTGAGTTGGATCAAAGATGCTTTGAACAAAACTCACCAAATCTACTCTTTCCTTCTCATGCTTTGTGATAAAAGGATGTGACAGAAGCTGTTCAAGATAAAGAGGAAACACCACCATCAGAACTGAATCTTAGTTGCAGATACAAAGAAAAGCACCGAAATTTCAACAAATCTTGCTCATTATTAAAGAGAAACAAAGAAAAGCACCAAACATTGAACCAAATCTCGCTTTAAGCACTGATTTTCTCGGTAAAGTACTGAACTTGTAAATACCAACCTGATCAGCTGTTGGTCTAGCTTCTGCATCCTTCTGGAGGCAAGCATCAATGAAGGAACAGAACTCTGGTGAAAATTCTTGTTTTGACGGTGTCGGTGATGGATCATCCAAGATCTTCCGATCACATAACACAGAAACGACAAAGATTTTAGTGTATACTATTACTAGTTTATCAAAGAAAAGATTTGGACCAAGTTGATTTTACCTGCAACATAAGATTAACAGGCCCTTCATTAGCTATATACGGAAACTCTCCAGTTCCGCATTCAAAAAGAGCAAGACCAAGGCTCCATATATCAGCTGGATAAGAATAATTGTCATTCCTAATCCGCTCTGGTGACATGTAGGTGACAGTTCCTACAAAAGTAGCACACTTTGCAACCACCATTTTCGGATAATATAAGTTAGAAAACTCAGAAATTTTTATTGGATTCATAAGGGTTTAAGCGTGGATTCCATCACTAACCATAGCCATTGAGTTCTCGAGACCAGCACTTATGCCAAAATCAGTTATCTTTGGTTCCCCTTTGAGATTTACAAGCAGATTAGCAGGTTTGATGTCTCTGTGGACAAGATGTCTAACTCCATGCAAGTAGCTCAATCCCTTGTAACAAAATCGCATCATCCAAGAATGAATTTATATACACATAACACAATAAACAATTGCAGCCTTAATATTTTTTGGATATATTGTACATTAGAGAGAGTTTAAGTATCTTTACTTGCAAAAGTTTTTGGAACATTGATGACAGAACCGGCTCAGGTATCTTCTTTGTTACTTTTAAGATATCTGCAAGAGATCCTCCATCCATGTATTCAAGAGCTATGCTGATTTGTCCTGAGTCTGGACTATAAAACGCTCCGTGAAAATCCACAAGTCCTTCGTGACAAGGAGCTTCACACAATGTCCGTATCTCTGTAAGCAGTTGCTGTCTTTTCTCCTGCAGAGCTCAAACCAAATCAGTAAACATTCAAAAGCGAAAAACATTATGAAGGGATTCACATGTTTTCTTGGATCAAGAAAGAAAGAGACTACATTTACCCTTTCGAAGATATTAATTTTCTTCAAAGCTAGAATTCTATGATTCGGGATATGAATCGCGCGTTGAACAACGCTGCTAGCACCGCTTCCTATAGCTCCAAAAACCCGCATTTCATGAGAAGCACATTGATATGTGGTCTCACAACTTTCTGATTCATCCACATGAGAAGAAGATGTACATTTTTGTAACCCGAGCTCGTTAAAGTTGTAAACTCCATATGATCTACTAAGCAAATTAACTGTTCCACCATCTGATAACTTGAAAATACAAAAAACAAAAATGAAAACTTTAAGAAACACAAGAAAGCGTGAATGACTTTACTTCACTATGAATACACAAGAAACTTACTAAATATGAATCGTTTGGGTCTAACGATGAGGATGAAGAAAAACCCTTCTCGGCATCAAACAATGGAGAAAGCTTCTTCTTTAGCTCTTCCAATGCCGCCATGAAAACTTTTTTCTGTCACACAAGAAAAAAAACAACCAAACAATGTTGCAACAAGTTAAATTAGGCAACTTTTTCTTTGCCAATTTCAAAAATTCGGAAACTTTAAAACTATCTTAGTCAATAAAGTCAATTTCTTTCTTAAGGAACATGAACCAAACGAAAAAATACAAAATTTTCACCGATTTCTTAAGGATCTGCAACTATTGACAACGAGCCGAGACCTGGTTGTTCTTCTCTGGAATTGATTTGAGATTGAATCGGTTGCTTCTTTCCTCAGTGCTGTTATTAATCTCTGCAATTTTTCGTCGGCTTCGATCGCTACATTTCCTCACCGTTCATTCTGATTATTTTTGGGTAAAATTGTAATGAGATAGTTGTTGAAGGGCTTTTTAGTAATTCCAAAAACTAAACCGGTATGACAATAGAAACTCAATCTAATCTATAAGGAAAGTTCGAGAACCGTATTACAAAAATTACCGGTTTAAATTTCTTACATCAAAATCGTCTCGTTGGTTCAAACATTGGATCATGTACATACAACTTAAGCTGTTTGGAACAAACCCAACTCTCTGCATTCTTTCCTGAAGCTCTAACACCTTCTTGTATCCACTTGCCGTTTCACAAATCGATTTCACAAGCAAATTGTAACTCTCTGTGTCAAAGATTCCAAACTCCATAGCAAAGAAACCCAATAAACTCTCAGCTTTAGCGAAATCTAATTCCTTGCAGTATCCATTAACCAAGGCCTCGCATATACAAGAATCCGGTTTCATTTCACAATCAAGCATTTCCGTCATCAAAGACTCGGCTTCCCGGTTCCTACCAATCCTACACAAGCAGACAATAAGTGCTCGGTATGTCTTGACATCAAGTACTTGATTCTGGCTTGTCAGTTTCTCTTTTAGAAGCAACGCCTCTTCGATCGCATCACAACGGGACAAAGACTCGATTAAGTTGTTGTAAGTCTCTGGTTTAGCTTCGTGACCTTCCTCTTCGCTGGTTCTTTCCAACAGATGCTTTGCTGCAAATGGTTTACCTTCCCGGCATAAACTCTCTATCAGAAAGCTGCAAACTTCAAATGGGATACTAACCTTTAACCTTCTAAGCTCAACAACGAAATTAACAGCTGCAAGTAACCGTCTTTCTCTAACATATCCTTCCACTATAACCTTACAAGCGAACCTATCCGGAACAATGCTATTCCCAAGCATCTTGTGCAAGAGCTTCTTTGATTGTTCCATCAATCCTTCTTTGCAATAAGCATAGATAAGAGTGTTGTAAGAGATACCGTCAGGAGTAATTCCTCTGTCTATCATCCTTTGGAACGTCTGGTGAGCTTCTCTGACTCTCCCTTCTTTACAAAGACCTTTGATAAGCGACGTGTAGGTAACTAAATCAGGCACAACACGACGCCGATACATGATCTTGTACAGATAAAACGCTTCTTTCAACTTTCTTCTTCTACAATAACTACTCACTAACGTGTTGTAAGTAACCAAATCAGGCTCGAACCCTTCTTCTTCCATCTTCTCCAAGAAGTCATTAACCTCGTTGAAGTTCGAATCGTTGCAGAACACGTTGGTAAGGATGTTGAACGTATGCGTGTTGGGATGGATTCCGACTCTACACATGACGCGATACACATCCCAACAATCCTCCATCAAATCCAGTTTCAGCAAACCATTCAAGAGATGATTACAAGTGACGACACTAACACGAAAACCGGAATCAATCACTTTTCGAAACGCAGAGAAACCTTGTTCTACCAAACCCAGTTTTAGGTAACCCTTGACAAGCATATCGAAAACAACAGGATCCCAATTGCATTCATCAGTAGACGAAACCAAAACGCTAAACACATCATCTTCTTCATCTAACTCAATCGTTTCACAGAGGAATTGCATAGCCAAAGGAAACTTCTTTGAACAAGCAAGAACGTGAAGCAACAAACAGTAGTTATTAACATTTGGTCTCTTACCCAAATCGAATTTAACCCAATTGAAGAATGCAAGAGCTCGAGGAGCATCTGACTGAAACCTAAGCAAAACCCTAGAAATTTCACGGTCTCCCAAGTGAGGAATCAGCGACTTTACCTCGTCACGAAAGTTGGATAAGACGAAATCACGCTGATTGAGAGTCGAACAGATGACATCGACGATTCGATTAGGGTTTTGAGTCTGGGGAAGTAAGTTGTAGAGCGGATTGAGGATTGGCTTTGGTGAATTATCGCATCGCGGAATTAACTGCAAAGAAGAAGAAGAAGAAGAGAAATCTCGTTGGAGAAGAGAAGCAGCTATAGCTGATACTCGCTTCATAAACGAAAACAGCGACGAAAGCGAAACGAGAGAGAGAGAGCACAAAGAAAGAAGAAAATGAAATTTGAAAATGTTAAGATTTGTCCCACATCGGAGGTTGTGTCTTGATTTTTAAAGTATATATATAATAAGAAAAGCAACAACGAGTGTGTTCGTAGAAAGGAGAGATGGTTGGCATCTCCTCTGACAGAGACGGGATTGACCTTCGGGTCCGAACACATTTCGGTTAAGGCTCTCCACTTTCGAGTGGATCTATACCAATTTTTTTTTGTTTTTATTGTATTGAGCTAAGACGTAATAACATAAATCTATCTCAGTTTCAATTTCTTTAATCATTTTTGTATTGGGCTAAGAATTGATAACATAATCATGCGACTTCAACTTTTTTGAAGACACCCTGTTAAGCCTCTCCACTTTCGGGTGGATCTAAAACCAAAACTTTTTGGAGTTTTTTCCTTCTCTATTGGACATTTGTTCTATTAGCCTAGAAACTATCAATTGTTAAAAATTTGAGACAATTTTATGATTTGTTTTGTTCACTAATAACGTCATATTTAGAAATAACACTAATAACCAAAACCAAACTTATATAACTGTAACCAAAGACAAAATTGATCGCCACAGGACCTTTGATGACTAAAGATATATCATCTACTTTTGCAAGATAGATAAACCACCATTAATTCAAGTTTTCTTAAAACTAAAACTACAGCAAAATCAAAAAACCAAAAACTCAAAAACTAAAATCTGAAAACCAAAAACCAAAAGCCAAAAACTAAAATCTAAAAACTATTCAAACATTCATGGCTTTAGTACCTAAACTAAAAAATCTAATTCAAGTTCTCAAATCAAAACTCAGACTCAATAAAAAATTATAAACTAAATTCTCTAAAAAAGTTTTACCATTATGATAAATAGTACAAACCTAAGAAATAACTTCAGACATTTGTTAGGTTTTGAGCATCCATCATTTTTTCCATGGTGTTTCTGGTTCCTAGAGGCTTCTAAGCTTGAATTGGATCTCATCCTTTAAGGATGAAAATCTCACTGTTGCCTCTTTCTCTTTCTCTTTCTCTCACAAAATTCAGAAATCTTGATGCACTTGTTCATATTTTTTGCTAATTCAATACCATCCTATAAACAGTACGTAATTAGTGCAAAAATAACTGGTAGTTGAATTTTTGTGAAATATGAAAATATGTATTTATGTTATGCATTGTTATTAGCCTTGTTTATGGTTTTTGAAATAGTTTTTAGTTTTTCTTTTTCAGAAAAGCAATTTATTATCCAATCAAAATTTTGGTCAAAGTGATTCCCTAATTCTCTAATTCAATTATTTATAAAGCATTTTAAGTACATTTTCTTTTCTTCTGCTTCTCTTCATCTTCATCGTCTCAATAATCAGCTTCTCTTTTTTCATTGTCTCAATTTTCAGCTTCTCCTTCTTCATCATATTTCAGTACTTTTCTACCTTCCACCAACATATTCATCAACTTATCCAAAGTTTCATCACCTCCCTGCTGTCCTTCTTTTCTATTTTCCACCCATTTCCACCAACTTTTCCAAAGTTTATTTTCCTCCTTCATCATTTTGTTCTTTTCTAATCTCTCACCAAATTTATCACCAATTTTTTCCAAAGTTTCTACTTTTACTCGAGCTAGACAATTTTAGTCTAGTCATTTGATTCACACATCCAAGAGATTTTTTCTTTATTTCTCTAGAAGCAGCAAGATTGCAAACAGATTTCTTAATCCAGTCTCTTTTCTTTAATATATACCCTTTTTCCACCAGGTAAAAAAAAAAACTTAGATTCACATTATGTCCAAATAATTTCTTTTATTTTTGAGACACTTAAATTGAAAACTTAATAGTAGGTTAAAGATTCAAATTCTCAGCGAAGCAACAAAACGATCAAAAGTAAGATTCGATGACATTGAAAATCAAGATAAACTTAACGGAAACGGAAAATAGTATATTTCATAAATAAATATGAAAATATTAGGGGCAGTACAAATCCCACCACTGAAATCAAAGATATCCTCACTTAAGTTAAAACCAATAACTTATACCCTAACGGGTACATCTTAGTTCACTCTCAGAAACCATATAAAAACCGGCACGGAGTTCATAAGGAGTTTAGAAAACAAAATAAGCAACTTCCAAAACTCTAGAACAAATACTCAATAGAAGACAAACCCTCTGGACCAGACCAAGGCACTTGAACCATCACCATTGAATCTTCATACCCAAACTCAACAACTTCACCATCAATTTTGCAGCTCACAGGTTCACACGATGCATAAACCCTAAATTCTCCAGCACCACGAACTCCGATCTCAACAGATTCACCATGATACACCAAAGATCGAATCGCACCGCTAGTGTTTAGCATGTTAACCAATCCGATGGGAGCAAACCGGACAGAATTGCCATCAATGGTGACAACAGGAGAAACAGTTATGAGCTCAAACTTGAAAGGCTCCAAAGTGAGCTCGAGATCGTCTTTTGGTCCAGACAACACGAGCTTCTTGGATTGAGACAAGAACAAAGCAAACTCTTCAACGTTTTCAACCGAGATTGGGTTGTTCCCACTGTTCCATTCAACGTCCTTAGGTCTTGTTGTGGCGGTTATCGTCTTGGAGCATTGAGAGAAGCATTGGTTGCGTCTTGTTTCTTGGCACCATCCTCCTCCTTGACAGTTGAATACTCCGATAACTCCAGTGTACTATTTGAAGAAGAAAAGACACAAAACAAGAAAAAAAAGATTGTTATGAATATAAAACAGAAACTTGCGTACAAAGAAACAAGTCAAATCAGATGAACTCAAAAGCACCATTGAATTTCAAGTTAAACACTTTTTCAGTCCATAACCTGAAAATTTTGATCCTTATGATTCTAACAAAACCTCTCATAGCTCAAGTTTTATTATGGACTATTGTTTATCCCAATAAGTCTATTTAACAACAGTTTGGACCCAATAACAAGTATAAGTTAGCTACAAAGATTATAATCCTCTAAGAGTCTATGACCACTTTTGAAATCAATATTAGCTCATTAGTCATTAGGGAGGTTATAATGGACTCCATTTACCAAAAAGATGCTAATTAGGCTATATAAAAGGGGCTAATAATGGTTCATTAATTAGCTTAATTACCTTGTTCAAGTTCCAAATCTTGAGCATGGTTTTGCCATCATGAAGAGGGTCTTCAAAGAGACGGTCACGAGTCGGGAGAGCATAGTACTCGCACCTCAAAATCGAACCGTCGGGCAAAACGAGCCGCTTCAAGAGATCGAAATCGTGCTGGCCCACACAATCGCTGATGTAAATAGGCCCACCAGAAATGGCCCGAGAAGCTGCATGGAACTCAGCACAAGGATGTGTGGACTGAAACATGTCCCAATCAGGCTGGATAAAATTTCCCATCCAGAGACTGTTGTATGCGCAATGAACCATGTGACATCCTTGTAGCCAAAACGTTCCGTTTGGATCGCCTGATGGATCCGTGCACCAAAAGTCATCACCTAATTCCAACATTAAATCCAATTAAATCATTTCTTTATATATATATATTAGTATTAAAATTTATAAATCATATATAGTCCTAATAACCAAATAAAATAAAATATTTATTTAGTTGTAAAAATGTAGCCTTTTTTAATTTTTAGGTTTTTTGAAGACTTACCAACACGGCCTAGAGAGATGGCTTGGGTTCCAAGGAACATGAAGTCATTACAGTGCTCCATGCTGGCAATAACGCCGTTACCGTTAAAATGCTTATTCACTGACGACGTTAACGCCTTGAAGTAAGATTTGGCCAAGTCAACTCTCCCGCCGTATTTCTCGCACAACATCTCCAAAATCTACAATTTAAAAAAAAAAATCAAAAAAGCCACGTGGTGTGTTTTAAAGCAAAAAAGATAACGAACTCTGACAGAAACTTACGTGGATGACGTCAACTTTAACGCCGTCAATACCGACGTTTTGGAGATGAGAGTGAAGACCCTCGTAAAACTCATTGGCCAAGTCCGGCGAGACGAGTCCAATTCCGGTCTCGACGATCTTATCTACGGCGAGATCTTCCATCGTGAGTTTAAGTCCCGGCGAGAGTTCTGGCCGGATAATAGTTGACGGCGGAAGAGTCGGAGCTCCGGGACGGAGACCTCCCCAGTAACCGCAAAGTGCGTGCCAGACGTAGATGTAATCAACGGTGGAGAATTCTTCTTTTAGATCTCTCACGAAAGCTTTCATTCCGACGTCGTTTTCATCTTTTGGAGATACGTAATCTCTGAACTTGTAGTTCTCTTGAAATTTCAGAAGCCTAGAAAAATCAGATTTAACCAGTGGTTAGGATTTTAAAAAACAAACCAAAATCTCGGTTATAGAATCCGGTTCAATTAGCCAACACAAAATCTCGAACAAATTATGGTTAAAAATCAAGAAAATCCGGTTTCAACCAATTTATACGATATCAAACCGAGAATATAATCAGATTCAATTAAACCAAGCTAAGCTCCATTTAACATGGTTAAACCAAATTAAACCCTTTAAAACAACACAAAATAAAGATAAGTTATAAAGATGCAAACCTACTTAAGATTTCAGTGAGGTTAAACCAACAAAAGATTCGGTTGAGATTTGGTGTTGGTTATTATCAAACCAAATCGATTTACACCAGTTTAAACTAGTGTAAGGATTTGAAAACCAATATAATCAGATTGGATAAATGACTAAAACCAAACTAAACCGTTTCAAACAAGACAAAATAATTTAAAAATCACGATAATAATCAAATTGAAGAGTAAACCGAAATAAACCAACCTGCAAGGCATTTGCTCACCGGCGACGGTACAAGTCATCCCTTCAACATCGATATCATCGGAATCATGCCCAATCGATTGCCAACCGTCGTCGATTAACACCAGTCCCGGCGGACAACCGCCGTCGACGAGACACTTAACCCCCTTATGAACTCCGTCGGGATTCACCGTCAAATAAAACGCATCCCACGTGCACCAGCCGAATTTATCGACGATTCCCGGCGGCGATTTCTCTTCCAAAAGCTTGAAAGTGTTCAGATGAACCCTAATCACTTTCATCGCGTCTTTCACGAGCTTAAACGGATCATCTCCGGCGTGAAGGTACACAATCTGACGAAACTCCGACCCGGTTACTTGGGTCGACCCGGATTCGACACAGACCGCGACGTCGTCGTCTTCTCCGGATAGGAAAGATGAACGGAAGGAGCCTTCTAGAAGCGGTAGCAGAAGAACATAAGGACGACCCGACCCAGAATCCGATTCGAGGATGATGATTTGTGTCTCGTTCTCGATGTCGGATCCGTTTGACCCGACCCAGTGAGTCGTCCACCAAACCTTGAAACGGAATATGCTCATGAATCGAATATCCCTGAGTTTCCCGATGGATGCCACGTGTCGGGTTTTGGGCTCGCCGTCGAAGTTGAAACCGACGAATGAACCGGCGGAGACGTTGATCGGCTCGCCGTCTTTATCGGTTGAGTAAGGTGAAGTGGTGAGAGTGACATTAACCGGTACATCGGTTAAGACGACTTGACCATTGGCTAAGAGATTGGAATTCTCTAAATGGAAAAGAGGCTTTCCGGTGAAGTCAATACCGTTGACTCTAGTATCGGACTTGATTACGCTCGGTGGAGTCATTTTTCCCGATGAAGTTTAAAGCTTTTTGGATAAAGATTGAAAGAGATTTTTCGGTTTTGGATTAGGACAAGGAGAGAAGAAAGTATTTATAGAGATTATGAGTCTTGAAAACTTTCCCAATTCTTGCTGATTTGATGAGATTATGGATCGGAATAAAGTTTGGAAATGTTCGTATACTTATAGATTTCATATGTCGACATGTAAGGAATGTGTAAGAAATTGAAACCTTATTCTCTCAATATTTCGTATATTTTTTAAGTATACTTATTTTCTATATTCTATTTTGATATATTTGTTTTGTTTCTTTCGAAATCTTGGATGTGGGGTTGCTTTGATTTGGCACCTTTAGATTTGGTCGTTGGTAATTAATAAGAGAATAAATAAAATATTATATACATGGTTCTCGTAGCATGGCTTTTGAACCATTTTTTAAAATGTTTCCTTCTTATATATTGCATCATAATTGCGACTTTAATTCACCTACCGACAAATGTTACTTTCACAATTTCACTCATCGTCCAATGACAAGAAATAAATATTCATTCATTTTTATTTTGATATATGGAAATTTGAGCAAGAAATGTGACAAATGACAATACCTTTTTTTTTGTTACCTAAACTAGGGAATCCATAATGTTTTCGGAAGGGATAACTTTATTGCCTAAATCTTCAACTGATTCGGATGTTCAATGTTTTGATGTGCTTACAGAAAATAGTTGACTGACTGAAATCATCACATTCCTTTTTTGGTATCAATAAATAAGATTTCCGGATTTGATAAGGTTTTGTAGTTAATTTTATGTCCTCTTTGATTTAAGGAAATGGATTAGAATTTTTCCTCTTTTTTGTTTTTATTCTTATTCAGTTTCCTGTGTTAGATGTTGAAAAATATAGCAAAATGTGGTCCGGTTTTAGAAAGACTACTCGGTTTGGTTTAGCTCAATACAGTTTCAATCTTAATACATCTTGTTCTTTTGTAATCCTTCAAAAAATATTGGTAGTAAATTGTTTGGTACCATTACACATTATTGATTTTAGAAACTCGTAAAATGTTTTAAGTTATCGATTCAATATGTAATGAGTGATGTAAGAATCCGATTATCGATAATTTAACAGATTGTTAGGATTACAAGTTCAGTTTCTCAACACTGGTGGGTGAATGGCAAAATAATAGCTAAACCCTTGTGTACCTCCTCTTTCTCGTCACTCGTGTATATGTTAAATTGTTAATAGAATTATTCAGTTTCACAATTATGTAATGCATTTTATAAGCATTGACATTTTTTTTAAAAAAAAGAAAGAAATAAGTGATAACAGAGACGTTTTTCTAAATGAAATTGAGAGTTGGAAAATGTTAGAATTGGTTGAGATGACATGTGACAAAGAGGCAGGTCAGGTAACTTGAAGGATTGTTCTCACTCCTCAGCTAAGCAAGAACATTCAAAGTACTTGTTTTTTAATGGGGCTTGTGCCACGTATTATTTAGTTCGCTCGATCTGGTCTCCTTTTTGTAATAAACAAACCGACCAAACGATTAGGTCAAAGTCGATATGGTTTCCGCTTTGAAAACCGTTTTTATTTGTCAAAGAAATGGACATAAGATCTTAAAAAATAAGCCAACACTTATATAAAAACTTATGACTCAAGAAATCCAACGGTCGTGTGAAGCAGTTGCATTTCTATTTCTTGCACCGACTAAATTGCTACTAGTTTACACTTTTTATTCGTACCAGACAAAATTATCCTACCAAATTACAGGATAACTGGACAACAAAAAAAGGTTAAAATTTTAAAATACGCTTAATGAGTAAAGAAATCCAACGGTGGTCATGTGAAGCAGGTACATTTCTATTTCTTGCACCGAATAAACAGAGTTTACACTTTTATTATCACAAAAAAAGAGATATTAGTTTACACCTTTTTATTGGGACAAGAACGAGTACCTAGCTAACGCTGCATCTACCAAATTACATGATAGTTGAAGAAAAATATAGGTCTAAGTATTTAATATTAAAGTATACCATTTTCTTAGATCTGACGGTTATATTTATGTTTTACTGAATTAATATTTAATCTTAGGGTTTAAAATTTAGTTCTAAGAGTTTAGCCTTTTGGAAGTTAGAGTTTATGATTTAATTTTGTTTTTTATATTTAATTTTTTAGAATAATTTTTTAATTTATTAAAACATGAAACGTATTCCTTTATATAGTTTCGATATAAAATGTAGATTATTCTCATGATAACCCTCTCCTTGATTTTTACCCCAAAAATAAAATTTAATCTAATGATAGTATTGTAAAGTTTTTTTCATACGAAATTTCAGATTTTCGTTTATAATTTTATTTAATACTAGAACCAAAGAAATGCATAAAATCGACTAGTAGTTTAAAAAAAAATCGTGAACGTATGCTAACATTGGTAAATAATATATTATAAAACTATTTTGAGATATCTTTGTAGTAAGTAACATGGTCTCTTCGCAAAGTCCCCAAAATCCATGTGAATTACGCTATAAGAGGAGGTTTTCATGTGGATAACTCAACTTTGCTAATAAAATTAAATAACAATATTTATATTAAATGGATATCTTCCACTCAATAGCTTCCACCTATAATGACTGAAATCTACATATAAAATATTCAATAATATTAAACTAAAATCTTGAAAATTTGGTATTGAATTTTTTGAGATAAGATATACAAAATTATAATCGTACTCTCCTTAACTTGTCTAGCTAAAACTAAAATTACCTGTCCATTGCTCAATTCCAAAAGAAAGTAGTAAAAAGTATATACCATCCCCCAAATAAAAGTCCCAATATTAGACGTGTCATGTAACAACTGCACTCAGGATGTTCCAACAAGTATCAACCTTTGCTGGGCGGTGAGATATTAACAATTTAAAGTTTTGATTCTTTTGAACACAAATGTCATAATTCTTCTTTTATATCTTTTGATTAGTGTTTATAGTAATTATTTAATTATCCTTTTCGTAAAGGTTCGTTAGAAAGTTAAAGCGATAGGTTCAGGAAACGCGTCTTATCCAAAGTTTGGTGGGTTTTTTTAATCTCATTGGTGGAGAGATACTAAGTGTCCAAACAAATTCACCTAGCTGAAGTGTATGTAATGAGACCGACTCTACAAAAAGAAAAAAGAAACTCTGTTCTTAGAGACGTCATGCAGTTCTTTAATTATTTTACTAAACAGCACTTAGTCCTTCTATGAAGAAATTTAAATATAAGCATACAGAGTTGTCCCTCAGCCCATTTAAATAAAAGCATAGATATATCTCTTCATTGGGCCGTATACTTTGATCTACGTATGTTGAAGAATGGTGAAAACTGCTCGAGTTATGCAGGAAAAACTGGTTCCATGACACAAATTTTGATGGACTCATATATTAGTAGTAGGACAGGATGCAGAACGCATATTTTCGGTTTTTTAATACCAAGATAATCCAAACAATTATAATTTTGACTAATCTTTTAAAATAAATGTAATTCGTTGAATCGTTTATTTGAATATTTTAATAGATCTAAAACATATCACTATTAATTCAATTAACCTAGAGTAGTTAGATAGTTCAATATTTGTATGGAATCGTAATAATCTAACTCTGCATGGAAAGTTGGAAACCATTCAACTAGTAGAAAATAACTAACCCATTATTACTTATTTGAATTTTAGATTTTATTAGTACCATATTTTTGATTATATTCGTTTTGGAGTTAGTTGAATATATTTTTTAAAATTTTTAATATTCGATCCATGTCTAATCTAATTTATACAACTTATTAAAAGGTTATAAACTTTGTAAAACAAAAATTGTGAAAAATCAAAAATTAACCGTTGGTTGAAGTTTTGTTAGATTTTTTTCTTTTTTGTCGAACTTAAACGAAACACTTTGCAAAACTCTAAATCTTAGTATTTTGTGGTTTATTATTCATCTAGTATATAAGTAAATTAGTATCTGTTTTGTTATGTAAAATTACAAAGTCTTTTGAGACGGATCAAAGTGTATAACGGATGGAGATTTTCACAGCTCTGATAAATATAGTGACATCTACGACCAAAAAGATAAAAAAATACTAGCCAAGCAGCTCAAACTTCTTACACACGTTGCTCCCATTCGTTGACGTGTATTAACACTTGTCATAAAGGGAGCTCATAACTTTTCGTGACAGTGAAAGAAAAAAAATATACTTCATCATCGAATCTTCAATCTTAACCGTTGTTCCAGGACCTAAAGACTTGAAGCTTCTCTGTTTTTTTCCACTTTTTTTAATAACAAAACTTCTCTGTTTTTCTTTGCCCAAAGGATATCATTTCTCTGGTTTCAAGCTACAGGTGTGGCTTATGATTCTCCTTTTTTGCTTTCATAGATAATATTCAGATTTATTTTCCTCGAAACTAGTACAAGTTTTCTTGCATGATTGTATAATACTACCATCTCTGTGCAAAAAAAAATCGTTTTACGTTTGCGTTTGTATATATATTATCTACTGTTTTTAATAAACTCACAATTTCAATCATCTAAACACATTTTTTCTTACTAATTTTCTAATGTTTGCGTTTGGCTGAATTTTGCAAAATATTTTAAGAACGAAGAACAGAATTTCAAAAGTTCAATATATATATATATATATATATAATATTTATCTCATACGACATGCAAAATTGAAGTTTAAAGCGATGTTATAGTTAACTGACTAGCTAGGAAAAAAAAACTTCTAGGAATTTATAACTTGGAAATACAAATGCAAATAAGACAATTTAACCGTAGTTCTTGGGTGTTGCCGTGCTGGTTTGCGTTTAAGTTTGCCATCTGATCATAACAAAACTCGATCATTAGTAGTTGCAAACATCTGTTTATGTTTTTGACGTTCGCAAGAAAATCTGGAAAATGTTTGAAGTTTCAAAATGTGAGGTTTTTCTTAAACGTCTGTTTAAACTTAAACGCTAATCCCCAAATCAACGCCAAAGTACATTTTCAGAAAAATGGAATTTACTAAGTTTTGTTATAGCACTGACGAAAATGAATATTTACCTAGGAATTCTGAAATGGCGAATGTTCCAAAGATCGGAAAGGCTGTTTATAAGGGACCAAGCATAGTGAAAGAGATAATATATGGAGTCGCACTAGGCCTTGCGGCTGGAGGGCTGTGGAAAATGCATCATTGGAACAACCAAAGAAGAACGAGAGAGTTCTATGATTTGCTAGAGAAGGGAGATATCAGTGTTGTCGTGGAAGACGAGTAGTATTTGTGTATGTTTCTTGGTTTCTTTTATCTTACGGTATATATAAGTATATTTGAATGTGGATGCATAACCATCTTAAACATTGAATAATTGAAAGCGGTGCCTTTGTATGGTTGTTAAAGAGAGATAATGAGTGATCCTCTAGTACATGGAGAGTGTCTTATCCATCACCGATGTGAATTTTGGTTGTCGAAGTTGTTTCTTAATGCAGGAAGGGATTTATTATATCTTATAGTTATAGGAGTTCAAGATCAAGAACAAAAAGGAATGCGTTTGGTTTCGTTTCAGGGTATGTTTTTTTCTCAAAAAAATGTTATAAAACAATGGGAATCTTATGAAATGTTAGTTGTTTTCTTGATGAAAGATATATTGTTAAACCACTTGAATTTAAGAGTGTTATATACAGATCTATTGATATATTCATATGTTAGATTACCTCGGTAATGCATTCGTCGCATGAATTTTGGTATACATATCGGACCTCCTCAAGAAATGGTGAAACATTCAGGGAAAACAAAAATCCTTAATTCCTACGATGAGTTGTAGAAGTTTCTGAAGAGGTATAAGAAGCTTGATCGGTTTTGACCATCGTAGTGCTATTGGTGCTACAAGATATAGAACTACTGCATTCTTGGTCTGTAGTTAGAGAGCTAATCCTCAGGAAAGGAGGATTGGTTGGAGATGGAATAGGGTAATCTCTCTCGGTTAACATAAGGATAACTTCTTCCATCGACGGTCTCAGCGATGGAGAAGCTTGTGCGCATAACAGTCCAACGCAAAGAACTTTACAAGCTTCTGCTTCGCTGCATTGTGCTTGAAGTAACTCTTCCTTAAGACATGGGTCTAGGGCTTCTACCAATCTATTCAGTCTATACAAGTTCCAGACCTAGAAACATGAAACGACGACAGTGAGTTTAGACCCTAAAATTTTGGTTTTTATTTTGATGAATATGGGTTTTCGGGGGAATCTTACTCTTTGTAGGAGATGACCAGCCCCTGGCACAAAAACATTGTTTCTTGTTCCACAAGCAATCTCGAGAACAAGAACTCCGTAGCTATAAACATCAGCTTTCTCCGTTAATTGTCCTCTAACAACATACTCTGGAGCCATGTAACCTCTGTAGAAAGTAACAACAACTCAGTTTAGAATATTTTAATCTACCGATTCAAAACCATCTCCGGTTCAGTGGTTTTAGTAGCTTACAGGGTTCCAGCGATGCCAGTGCTAAGATGAGTTTTGTCCAGACCGAGACATCGAGCCAAACCGAAATCCGCGATCTTGGGATTGAGCTGATCGTCTAGAAGAACATTACTAGTTTTAATGTCTCGATGAATAATCCTAACCGGAGAGCCGTCACCTCCGTGTAGGTAAGCCAATCCTTCCGCTGCTCCAAGGATTATGTTTAGCCTAACGCACCAGTTTAAAACCTTACTTTTGCTTTCATCTGAAAAGTCCCAAGAAATCATTTGTTAGACACTATGTTTCAAAACATTAGATTCTTTTTCATATTTCTAGAAACACTTTCACAAGAACGAATCTATAAAATTAAGAAACATTGCAAGGCTTACCAAACAGAAAGTTGTCGAGGCTTTTGTTAGCGACGTACTCGTAGACCAAGAGACTCTCCGGTCCTTCAATGCTACAACCAAGAAGCTTGACGAGGTTCTTATGTTGGATTCCACTGATGAGATTCACTTCGTTGAAAAATTCTTCTACCCATTCTCTTGTGTTGAAGACTAATCTCTTCACGGCCACGTTCTTGCCATTTGGGAGAACTCCCAAGAAAACGGTGCCGTTTCCTCCTTGCCCTAGTGTTTTCTTGGGGCTAAAGTAATCTGTTGCCTTCTCTAAAGTCTCGTACTTGAACTTCGTCTTTGAGTTCTTGAACTTTTTTGAAACTAGACCCAAGTTTCTTTTTTCTAAATAAATTAACGAAATTAAGCATAAGACAATTATGATACAGAAAATATACAGTAAAAGTTGAGGTATTTTGGACCCAGTATCATCTGATATGATATGCCCAATCGAATTAACGAATGTTTCTAATGCACATACCTAAACAAAATCATTTATTAAGAAAACGAATGTTTCTATATACGGAGAAAACATGCATGTGATCAAAATGTGTACCTTGTTTGGTCTTTGAAACTTTGACAATAATGACATAAGTTGCCAATAGAACGAGCATGACGAATGCTGACATGGTCAATACAATAGCCACAATGACCCCTTTGTTATGAATCCCTACAATACATTACATTATATATATTTTTTTTTTTTTGTGAAATCTAGCCAAAATAAACTGAAAATGTGTGAAAAGAAAAGATTATAGAATTTATAATAAGCTAAAGTTTGATAGAAAAAGTAAAATCTTACCATGTCGATCATTATTATAGAATTTGTGATCAGAGTATCTAAGAAAACAACCACTGTTCATAGCTCTGCCTTCTCTCCTCGAAACGCACCGTTTCACTTCTCCGACAGCTTTCTCCAGACAGACCCTACACTCTTCTCTTCCCAAACTCTCCCAACACTGCGCAAGCGCGTGGACCCCACTCTCCCCGGCGACTCCGAAACCACCGCGTCTAACGGCGGCTCTCGCGGCGGTTTCCGAGACGCGGAATCCGAACTGAGGATCCAAAACGGTGTCGTTGCTGCACGAGTATCTATCCGACGCGGCGGAGATAGACTCGCCGTAGAACTCGTAAGTCTCGTAGCGGAGGAAACAGCCGTCGAGGAAGATCCTCGCGGAGGAGGAAGGGAGGCAGCGAGGGAGGCGCGTGCGTGCGATGGCGTAGCAGAGCTGACAATCGGACGGTGAGAGATCGTTGTGGCACTGAACCATCGCGAAAACCGACGGCGTGGAGTTTATGGATTGAGTTGCGAAACGGCGTGTAGTTAGTTTCAGGGAGAGTGATTGCATGTCGTCGACGAAAGTTGGAATGTAGTTTGGATCGGCGGAGGAGTTGTTGCGTTTGCCGCAGTAGAGACCGGCCACGGCGGTTCTTGGATCGGAGGAGGAATACGAGAAAGGGATAAAGCATAGTGAATATAGAACGACGGCGTTTTGAAACTGTGTGGTTTTTGTGAGGGAATACATTTCTTTTGTTTTTTTTTTTTCAAATCTTTTTGTTGTTGTGCTTACTGCTAGCTATGGTGTTTGGTGTTTGAATAAACTGTATTTAAAAAGAGACAGAGACATATATATGTCTATTTATTTCAATTAATGTATGCAAACTATAGTATGGTTTTCAGAATTTATTTCTAAAATTAATTATACGACTATTAAATTTTTCAAAAAAAAAAAAATTGTAAAATACTTTTTACAATTTAATTAACCATTAATTTCGAATATTTTTTTCATCAGTTTAAAAGTTTTTAAAATTGTTATAATAATTGTTACAATTCAACTAGACTATCATGCCCAAAATTTGGTCTTAACAAACATTCAAAACTGTAGAAGTTCTATTAGTCCAGTAGTTGACAAATAGTTCATTAATGTGTTTACACCAGAAAATGTGGAGTTATATTTTAAAAGATGTGTTTTCTGCAAATTTGTTTTCACAAATTTATAAGGAAATTCTTAGCATAGTGCAAGTGAAGAACCGGTATGTTCATTATAATAATGCTCTTGTAATTTTACATAATCTGTATCAGTGTTATAAAACAAACATTCGAATATTAGACTGATTTCGACATAAATACTGTCCAAAAATACGTTTACTCGAAAAATTTGAAACGGATAAACGAAAAAAAAGAAAGAAAAAATGGATATCCGCTCCGTGATCTATGACACGACACAAGCATTGAGCTTCTCAAATTAAATGCATAGTGTAATCATCTACCTAACTATAAAACATATATGCGAGTGATTTAATTAAGAAGATAATGAACGAATGGATACAGATAAATGAAAGGGACATAGAAAAGAATCCTCGATTTAAGGCGATGATGAAAAAAACCGTGTACAGTTGTAAAAGTCTTAGGTCCCAATACATTCATACTAGTTTTGGATCATGGGAATTTTTTTAAAAAAATAACACTCACACATTGTCTAAAAAAGATTATTGTTATTCTTTGCTTGAATCTGTAAGTAAGATATAGGGTTTATATTTTCTAAAATTACCATGTATTTTTTTTTGTAAACTATTAATAAATCTAGAACGAGCCACGTAGACAATTAACAGTCATGCGAATTGAGAAATTAACAGTAATGCGAATTGAGAAGAAACAAGTACACACTGATTAATAAATGGACCGTCATAGTTTATTTGTCGGTGGCTAACTCGTCGGACGGGTGGGGTAGGGTTAGGTTGGGTGCAGCAAATTCAATAGTCTTCGCCTCAATTCCTGACTTGGTTCGTACTCATCGGAATACAACATTACATATGACACTTATAAATATTTGCCGTCAAATGTAAATGAATATTTTTCTTCAAAACAAAAATGTATATGACCGCCATGCTCAATTTGGGAAATTATTTGGATGGTAAAAGTGTACATGGCGTTTTCTATGGTATCGAAAATTAAAAACCAACTTGTTCGGTTCGATTCGATTAGGTTTTGTACGTTTGCTTTACGTTTCAATTTAACTCGTTGTTGCATGTATCTAAACTGTTCGAACGAATTTGAAACGATTCCATATTTCCACATGGTTATTATTACATCCAAAAGCTACTTATTAACATACACACGTACGTAAAGATGTTGGTTGTTGTTCTCTTCTTGAATTAGCATTGCAGCGAGTCATAACTTTATCGTTAATAACTTTTATTTTGGTTAACATCCGTGTTAATAACTATGTGGAGAGTGAATGATATATTTCCATTTTCTCAAGTTTTATATCGTTCTTTCTATATCAATAATAACCAAGGGATTTATTCTCCTTCGTATTGTTCTTTTTGTATCAATAATAGTAGGTAGAAATATCCAAGAATTCGTTACAAAAAAAAAGAAATATCCAAGAATAAAATTTTAACTTACAATTACAGCTTTACAGTTGAAAATGATATACATTTGAAATTTATACTTCTGAAATTTTCATTCGTATTGCTTTTTATGTTACTAAATTAAAATTATAGAATAAACTAATTTAGCTATAAAATATAAAACTCTTAGATTCAAAGTTCAATAATGTTTTTTGTAGTGAATACTTTTTACCCTAAATTAACTATAAATAAAATTCAAACATTATGTTTGGGTCCTATTTCCTATTAAGAGTTTAAGTTTTTCTCCATTCAATTGAGTCATTATAATATTTAATTTGTGGTATTATAGAAAGTTTAAACTAGTAATACTAAATTCAGATAAAAACTTAAAATGTGTTATATATATATGTAATTTTATATCATGCCTAACGTATATATTTAATTTATTACTATTAAATTTAGAAAAAGCGAGTATATAGTTTTTGCAAAATTACTTCGATATATCTATCTTATTATATAAATGAGAATGATTAAAAGTTAGTAACTCGTTATAATGATATGTGTCAAGTGAATCGATAAGATTTTGAAATATGTTTCATGAATGTATGATTATATTTCTAACAAATCTTATTAAAAAAGAATTTTTTTTTATAATTGGTTCCTAATCATAAAGAGTAAAACAAAAAAACTATAGTTTATCAAAAAAAAATTATTTCAGTTTAGTATAAGGAAAACTAAACAATAGATTATAAATTTACAACCAAAAAGAAATTCTAGAATTGGTGAAAAAAATCAAGAAATAAAAATCAAAATTTATAAGAAAAAAAAACTATATTTCAGTTTAAGATAAGAGAAATTAAACAATAAATTATAAATTCACAACTAATATGTTATTTGCTAATCTTTTTAGTTCATAAGCTACATGTAATTAAGTTTTTACTTCATACTACTCATGCTAGGTTTATACAGAAAATGGTTATTATTATATTAGTATAATTATGTATAATAATTTAGATTTAATTATTGTAGTCCCATTATTTTGTGTTTGAATAATATTATAGTTGTTGATAATTTATTTTTAAATTTATATATTAAATATTTTAATGTTTGATCTCATTTTGTTTCTATTTTATTTTTTATAAAATTTAAAATATTAAATTATAAACCCGCATATGCAGATACTTATCTAGTAATAATAAAAGAATATTGATTTATATGAAATAAGAATCTCTGTTAACTATGGGGTCATTCGATACGCAAAGAACTCGTCTCTTTACTGTAAAAGCTAAGTATCTGTTAGTTTTGAGTATCAAATAGGTATAATAACAAAAGAATATTAATTTATATGAAATAAGAATCTAACTATGGGGTCATTCGCTACGCAAAAGACTCGTCTCTTTAATTTACAGTAAAGGTATCCGTTAGTTTTGAGAATCAAATAGGTATCTAATGTTCCAATTCAAGCCACAATAAACTATAAAATTTATGTAGTATGATGTACATAAGAGACTAATTAATCTCTTATTCCTGTTTTTATTTTATTGTTCATTTAAAACATACAACACATCTCCTGCAAAAGAAGAAGAAGAAAGAAAGCAAAACTTCTTCTTAAAAAAAAAACAGAAAGGGGTAAGAAGAAAGTTGCAACATGGCAACAATGGAAGAAATAGATCTAAACCTATGCACCTTTCACGATTCACCTCTAAAATCTACAAAAACCTCATCAAAATGTGAAGCGTGTTATGAAGATCACCACGACAACAAGCAAGGCTACAAGTGTGATTTCTGCGAATTTTATGTCCACGAGGAATGCATCAACACCAGCATTCCATCTCGTCATAAACACCCTCTCAAGCTTAGAGGGAAACAAGGTGATTTATCGTGTTGTCTATGTGAAACCGAATTGTCAGTTACAATGTTTTATCATTGCTCAAAATGTTCTTTCCGTATATGTGTTCCTTGTGCGAGAAAACCTTTGATGATTCACCAATATAAGGCCCACAAGCATGAACTCCACCAAATACCAATAAATATCTCCTTCACTTGTGAGGCGTGTGGGCTGCTCAGTACAGGTTACCCTTATATTTGTCATCAGTGTTGTTTCATCATCCATCGAGCATGCATCTTCTTACCACGTGTGATATACATCAATTACCACGACCACCGTATCTCTTATGTTTCTTCTCTTGGCCCGGGGAAGTGGACTTGTGGGGTATGCGATGAGAGTGTTAATGGAGAGTACGGAGCATTTTCTTGCTTGGTTTGCTCTTTTACTGTTCATTCGAATTGTGCAACAAAGTGGAACGTTTGGGATGGGAGAGAACTCGAAGGGGTACTCGAAGAAGAAGATGAAAAAGAAGAAAGCAAGCCATTCCAAGTGATAGATCAAAACCTAATCAAACATTTTAGCCATGAACACAATTTGAAGATGTCAGTACCTCGTGAGGAGGAAGATAAACGTTGTTATGCATGCACCCTTCCCTTATATTCTGAATTGTGCTACAAATGTACACAATGTGGTTTCATTCTCCATGATGCATGTGCTAATCTCCCTCGTAAGAAAAGGTACTTTTTTTTCACGGAAAGACTTACATTGTGCCACAAAGATCACGGCCATTACTTTAGAAACTTTTTCTTTTGTGAAGCTTGTAAACGTTATTGCAACGGTTTCTCGTATAGTACTGATAGTGAGGACAGATATGCAATTGATGTGCGATGTGCTTCAATGTCTATTCCATTCAAACATGAAAGCCATCCACATTGGTTGGTCTTATGTTATGCCGAAAGCCAAGAAGAAGTGATGAGGTGTGAAGGTTGTGACTTGTATAATTGGTATATTCTACGTTGCAAGGGTAATGTTGATTGTGGCGGGATATATTTATGCTTCACATGCGTTACACTACCCACATTGGTTAGACACGGATACGATAACCATCCTCTGTCCTTATATTACGGTGATAAAAATGTGAGTTCTACATATTGGTGCGGAATATGCGAAGAGGAAATCAATTCAAAGACTTGGTTTTACAATTGCAATGATTGTGGTTCCACTCTTCATACCAAATGTGTATTTAAAAATCTAATACGTTCATCAAGACCTGGATACAGTTCAATAATGGGAAACTTGAGGAATGTATATTTCATTCCGAATAATCGTCTCTCTCGACCGATTTGCTTCTTATGTAAGACCCGATGTGTGGATGATTTGGTTCTAAATATGGAGGAAACAAAGTTATTCCTATGCTATTCTTGTAGCTTTTCGTTGTATCAAGGAACTTTATCGCTAGAGTGAACTAAAAGTACATGCAACAAGTGTATTGCGACGACTAGTATTGAAATTATTTTCTAGAATATATAGTATCATGATTCTATTATTTCCACTGTAATGTAATTATAAATATGAAAACTGTATTAATAAAATAATCTTCACAGAGAAATTAAAAAAAAAACGTAGTCTCTTTCAAATAAACAATTAAGCACCCTCTCAAACTCACAAAAAATACTTATGTGTTTTGATAATACTTAATTAGTACAGTAGCAACACACTACAAGAAAGATCGGGTTTTACGTCGGCATATATCGACGTAAAATCGACGTAAAACAGCATTTACGTCGAATTAACGACGAAAAAAAATTCGTCGTAAAACGATCGTCGTAAAACCAAAATCGTCGTAAAATCATCGTAAAATTACCAACTCCGGAAAATCGTCGTAAAATCGTCGGAAACTATTCGTCGTAAATGCGACGTAAAATTTCCAACGGAAGTACAACGAAAGAACTCCAACATAAAAACGACGTAAAATCGATGTAAAATTACATCGATTTAACAACGATTAGGAGACGAACAATTTCAATTAAGGGAAACTAATTTTTTAATTGTCGATGTTAAATCGTCGTAAATTTTCGACGTAAATTCGACGTAAACTTATTCGACGTAAATTCGTCGTTAAATATTCGACGTTAGATCGACGTAAATTTACGACGAATTTACGTCGATTTATAAATTAAATATTTAATTCGATTTTAATTTAATTAATGAATTTTGAAAATAATAAAAAATTAAAAATAGAAAAAAAACAATTTAAATTCAAAAATAATTTATAAATAAAAAAAAATTTAATACAAATTGTTTTTTACAAAAAAACCTAATCTACAATGTGATTTCGTAATCGTCGAGGTTCAGATCGACGTCACGAGGAGGCTCTCCGTCTTGGCCGCCCGTCGCTGCTGGACCGTCGTTTCCCGTCTGCACTACCGGAGCCGAAGACTGACCCTGCGTCTGCTGGTCCGATGGTCCAGTACCGGAAGTACCACCGGTCTCAAAGACCCCTCGTGCTCGCTGTTGCCTCGCTCGGATTGCGGTGGCCAACTGCGGAACCGCTTCCGCAATGATGTCGAAGAGACCGTGCATCTCGGTGAGCTCCTGCTTCTGGGCCACTTGCTCATGCCTGAGAGTGGTGATCTCAGCATTGGCCGTAGCAAGCTCCTGGCGAAGCTGAACGGATCCTCCTGCGTGCGGAATCCGGAAGCCGAGGCGGCAGGACAGTCTCTAATAGAGCCCATCCCTAAGGTTCGGCCCTTCTTCTTCGGAGCAACCTACAAATAGAAAATAAAAACGTTAATTATTTATTAAGTAATAAATATAATAAATTTTTAAAAAATTTGAAATAGATCATACCTCCTCGAAAATCTGGTCTTGCTCAGCGACGGTCAACGGTACTTGGATAGTACCGTCAGGTGTGGCCTGGGTCTCCCGCTCGGCGATCCGCTGCATAGCGGCATTGTAGATCTCCTCGGACCGAGCGTCGACAAAGGTCCCGTCCCTCTTCCGGTGAGTGGTCTCGAAGAGCTTCGTCATTGGAGGTAGTTCTCCTCCGTTCTCCTCGGCCTACGAATTAGTAAACATTAGTGAAAAATATTTAATAAATTATAGCAATAAATAAAATTAAATTAAAATAATAATTACTTACCATCATGAGACGTGTTCCCGCAAAAGATATTTGGCCAGAAGTGTGCGGGGTCACTAACTTCTCACCAGTCACCGGATCGACCCGGTTTCGGACGGCCAAACACTTAGCAGCGGTGGTTTGGGCATGCGGGTCCAGCCAGTACGCCTTCAACCCGTTCCAACAGGTAGTGGACATGGAGCTCGGCTTTGCGTCGTCGCCGTCGGTCTCCCATTTCCGCTTTCAATCGGAAACGGTGTTGACTAGGCGTTTCTGCGCCTTCAGCCGGAAAGCTTCGCGGACCGTCTCGTTGATCCCGATGTCCCAGTTCCACCGTTGCTGCAAAAGAAAACAAAAAATTAGATAAATAATATAAAAGTAAGATTAATTGAATTTTACTACAATTTAAAATGATATAAATAATATTTAAAAAATATTACGTACTGCAAAGCACTTGTACCAGGTGTCGAACGTCTCTTGCGACACCTTGCTCCAATTGTAGTGTGGCTCCACGAAATGACTCTTAATTGTGTCGGAAACGCTCCGACCGACACAATTATCCAAACTAAACCTATGAAACAAAAAAAAACTTATTACATTAATATTTAAGTAAATTAAAACATTAATTTAAAAAAATATAAAAAACTAAAAAGTTTACTTACCAATAAGAGCCCGGTTCCGCTTTTCCGGGAACCAGACGTCGTAAAGCCCCCCGTCCCGGTAGGGCTAGTAAATCCTCAACCGTAAACTGGGCATACGGATGAGGAGGAGCGGGTACCGGTTCGGCAGCCGGCGGTGGAGGTGGTGGTGGAGGCGATGGTGGAGGCGGTGGTGGAGACGGCTCCGCGGTATTCGGAACCTCGGAGGCTCCGGAAGATGAAGGGACATCGGTCCCGGTGTTTCCCGAGGCAGACGCCCGGGAAGAGTGTCCGTCCGCCATGAAATTGATGTAATGCGTCCTCCGTCGAGTCATCGTCTGCAAAACCGATAAAATTTTATTTTTCAAGTTAATTACAATTAATTTTTAATTACGATCCTAAATCTAAGAAATTCCGATCCTAAATCTAACAAATTCCGAGCCTAAACTAATTCCCGACCTAAACCGTTTGAATTTCTAAACTATTTAATAATAAAATAATTTAAAGTAATTAAAAAAAATAATTACCTTTTTTTTGCGTCAAAAAGAGGAGGAATGCAAGAGAGGACGAAGCAGAGAGAGAAGAAGGAGAGATAAGCGACGAAATGAGGAAGGGGTGAGGTACTATATATAGAATTTATATTCGTCGTAAATTCGACGTAATAGTTACGTCGAATTTACGACGAATCCGTCGTAAATTCGTCGCAAAGGTCCCACCGTATAACAAAGCGAATAAGACAAACACACGTGGCTGTATCTGGGCTTTGCGACGATTTTACGATGATCCGTGTTATTTGTCGTAAAATAGTCGTAATGTTACGACGATTTTACGACGAATCGTATAAATCATAAAAATTTAAGACGGCTGTGTATCCACAAATCGTCGTAATTTGTCGTAATATTACGACGAATTTACGACGAATTATACCAAAACTGATGAATTATGCAACTCAATTCTGTTACATATATCAGGTAAGTCCATCCGTGATTTAACGCTGTCTTTGGTTCTTCCTTGGACGTTCAAAACAGTATGCATGATGTTATCGAAAAAATTCTTCTCAATATGCATAACATCAAGATTGTGTCTAAGCAAATGATCTTTCCAGTAAGGCAGATCCCAAAATATACTTTTCTTGTGCCAATTGTGATGAACCCCATATCCGTCAGGCATATTCGCAGGAGTGTGCCAATTTCCTCCAAGGGGGACCGTTTCAAGTCCACCCCAATGATCTATTTGCGCTTCAAGCTCTACTCCAGTTAGGTACACTGGTGGAGGGAGACGAACCAATTTGTTCTTTATAAACAAACATCTATTTCTTCTATATTGATGGTTTGGTGGTAAAAACCGACGGTGGCAATCAAACCAACAGGTTTTCCTACCATGTTTAAGCTGAAATGCATCAGTCCTATGAAGACAATAAGGACATGATAACCTCCCATGCGTTGTCCAACCTGATAGCATTCCGTATGCCGGGAAATCGCTTATTGTCCACATAAGCACCGCTCGCATCGTAAAATTTTTACCACTCGAACAGTCATATGTTCGTACTCCAACATGCCACAACTGGTTTAACTCATGTATGAGTGGTTGCAAAAACACATCAAGGGCCCGCTTCGGGTGATTTGGACCAGGGACTAATATACTTAGAAACAAAAACTCTCTTTGCATGCACATATCTGGAGGAAGGTTATATGGCGTAAGAATCACAGGCCATAATGAATATTGCCTACCAGACATACCAAATGGACTAAACCCGTCAGTGCAAAGACCAAGATAAACATTTCTCTTAGACCTAGCAAAGTCTGGATGTACGGTGTTAAAATGTTTCCAAGATTTCCCGTCAGACGGGTGAGTCATTTTGCCATCTGTTTGTGAATGTTCCGCATGCCATCTCATCGACGCAGCTGTCCGTTCGGATTGATATAGTCTTTTTAACCTATCAGTGATAGGAAGATACCACATTCGTTGGTAAGGAATCTTCTTACGCCCAGCAATTTGCGGTCTATATCTTGGCTTTTGGCAGAAACGACATTCTTCAAGCTTCTCATCATCTCTCCAAAAAAACATACAATTATCAACACAAACATCAATCATCTCAGAAGGCAATCCAAGACTAAAAACCAGCTTCTGAATTTCATAATACGTTTCAGCAGCCAAATTATCATCTGGCAAATACTCTTTAATAAGATCTGCCCAATCGTTCATGCAAACTTCAGATAGATTGTGATCAGTTTTTATTGTCATCATCCGAGCTGCCAATGATAATTTTGATAAACCTTCCCTACATCCCTCGTACAGAGGCTGTTTTGCTGCGTTTAACATATCATAAAAGCGTTTCGCATCTGCATTGGGCTCCTCAACAGTATCAGCATGTGTTTCATGAAATGCATCAGTAATCATTTCATGCATCCTATCATGATCTTCACCCTGAACTTGACTACTTTGATAATCATTGGACGCTTCAAAATCCACATGTTCTTGATGATTACTACTACTCCGTGCAACCATCTGACCACTACTTTGACCATATCCCTCTCCATGCTGATACCAAATAAAGTATTGGGGCATGAACCCTCTATTCAATAAATGCTGCCAGACAGTGTCAATAAGAATATGTTTCCTATTTTTGCATTTCACACAAGGACAATACATTTTGCCGCTTTCAATTACAGTTTCCAGAAGGCCGGCTTGGTACATGAATATTTCCAATCCGTTTTTGAAGTCTTCAGTCAAC